CAGAAATTTTTCTTTGGGTACTCCAAGTTTATTAATCATAATGCATTGTTCATGCTATATCTTTGTCATTAATTCATGCAAGGCCTTCTCCATTTCGTTATTTAATGGTATACTAAGACTGGGTATTTTCATACTTTAATGCAAAATTGAAAACATTGTTTCTGCATCCACCAAAACGTCACCAGAACAGACTACCGCCTTTTTAAAAACCTAATAACATAACTTGCACTTTCCCATGCATGGCATAAAAATACAAGACTACAACATCATTTTAATATCCACTTAGTATGTGTCTTACCATATGGGCAAGTTATTTAACCAATCCCGTCCATATTGTATATCTGGATGGACTTTGTTTCCAGTGTTTTACTATTGAGTACCAAAACATGTGTGGGTCCGATTCCGTGAAGCTATCCGGGTGACCAGAGATGATCAGCTCCAGTCTAGCAGTCCAGAAACCATGAGGCGTCACCCGAAGGACTGACCACACCCTCACCCTCCGAGGGAGAGTGAGGCCCAGGAAGGCCCAGAGGAACTGAGGACCCTCGCTCCCCTGCCTGCCCTCAGAGGTCTCTGAACCCAGGACAGCTGGAAGCATCTCTAAGGGAGTGCGGGCCGGGAACGCTGAGATGCAGCGTGAACCCCGAGCCTTTGCGCCCGGCACGGCGAGGTCACTCGACCCACACACACCCCGCCCCCCAGGCTGGAAGAGAAGTGGCCAGTCCCGTCCTTAGACTCAACCGGTTACTCATAAACCCGGAGAAACGGGTAGGAAGCGGAGTACATGTACGCCGCAGTCGGATGGCCGGGGGTTGGAGAGACACCGCAAGGACAGAAAGTCTAGGGAAGGTCTGTAAATCCCGGAGGGCCAACGGGGCGTCTAAAGGGAACTGACGGAACCGGAAAAGCCCATAGAGACCCAAGGATGTGTTAGGGAACATCTGCAAAGACCAGAGAGGGAAGCCAGGGGTCATCTAAAAAGTTGTCAAAGCTGCTAAGGGAAGGTCTAGAAAGGGCGGTCCCCACAAGAACAGGGCTTCCGGAAGCTAAACCCGGAAGAGAGGGTGTGGAGGACCCCCCATCTGTAACGTGAATATACCCTAAAGGCGCCGGCGAAGCTTAGGGCAGGGCCAACTGAAGCTGCAGCCAGCGAAAAGAGGGAGGCTGGAGCCGGGTGAGGGGAAAGGGGATGAAAAAGGAGGCCATTAGAGATCGTCTGAAAAGTGCGAAGCCAAATGAACTTTTTGGACCGACAGCAAATTGTATCCCTTGCTAAGACAGCTCTCCGTAGCGAACCAACTTCTTTTGTAAGACCCACCCCACACCCATTAAGTGTAGTTTCGTTATCTCTGATATGGGGTGCACCGGGTTCCCCACTTACTCCCAACAAGGAGCGACGCCCTTCCTCGATCGCGCGCTTTCTCCTCCCCTCACACCCGTTGCTCCCACCCACCTATCAATCACTATGCTCAGCTGTCCAGTTAGCGGGCCAAGGGGGCGGGGCCGTTAGGGGCGTCGCGTGACGTCGGCAGTCCGCCGGCAGGGAAGCCGGGAGATGAGTGACGAAGGAGGCGCGTGACGGAGCAGCGGTTGGCCGACGCTGCAGCGGCAGTCGGTGTAAACAAGGCTTTGCGCCGCTGGGGGTCCTGCGACCGCTTCTGGCTGGTGGGTGGTCTCGCGCGGGGCGGTAACCGCGGGTTTCAGTGGGAGGGGCTTCTCGGCCTCTTCCTGGCCTCCCCACCTTGGCGTACACACCCCCGGCACACCACGTGGGCGTGAGGCAAGGAAGGAGGGGGTGTTAGGCCGAATTCTAACGTCATTGGTTGTCGCTGCTGCCGGCTTTCGCAAGGGAGCACTCTGATTGGTCGGTAAGGGGGGCGTCGGGGGGTCTCTGAGTCCTAAGATTTCTGATTGGTTAGATGAGATAAGCTAATGAGGCGCTTTCTTCCTCGAGGGGTTTTGATTGGTCGGCCAGAGAGGTTACCTGGGAATTACCCCCCCCACCCCGGGACTTTGATAGGTGAGTTTGAGGTAGAAAAGTGAGAAATTCCTTTTCAAAGGATTCTCAGTGGTGAACTAGGGTAGTGCCCTAAGCTTCACTCTGCTTTTTTTGCTTCACAGGATTTGGGAAGGTTTGCGTTCCCGAAGCCTTGCGAGTTGTCACAGGCTAAAGAGAAGGGATCTCCGAGAGATAGCAACCCCTATCTCAGGAAACCCTAGTATTTCTAGAGCAGGCTTTGCTTTCACCAAACCCAAGGAGGCGACAAGGAATCCCTGTACAGGACTTAAGGATGCTGTGACCAGAAGATGGGATCACGGAACAGCAGCAGTGCAGGAGCTGGGTCTGGAGACCCCTCTGAGGGCTTGCCCCGAAGAGGGGCTGGCCTGCGTCGGAGTGAGGAAGAGGAAGAGGAGGATGAAGATGTGGATCTGGCCCAGGTACTGGCCTATCTCCTCCGCAGGTAACTTACCCTCTGGTGTGTCCCCACCAGGCGCCACCACCGTCCCTTGATCCCAACTGCAGGCAGGGAAGTTACAGAGGATAGGGAATGGGATTAGCCCAGGACAGCTGTTTGTTTGAGCAGAACAGCTTTTTCTGCTGGGCACTCATAGCCCTCAGCTTCATACCCAATAAGAGTGGTTTTAGCCTAGGGAGGGTCACCAAGATGACTCACTCTTGTGTTTAAGAGGACTGTTCAAGAGAGGCTCTCTAGCTATGACTACACAAATGTAATCTAGTTTCCAAGTAAGTGGAAAAAAGGGGTGGGGGGAGGCCCTGGTTGGAAAGGGGTGAAGAGAAGAGTTGGGGAAGTGGGTGTTGAGCCTTTGTGAAATTAATTACATGTGATATGAGGCCACATGGACTTACCTGAAAAACAAATTTAAATTAACCTAACTAGCCCTGTTCTTGAGGAAAGAATGCTTTGAGGGGAGTGACCACCAGGAATTGACTGGTAAGGGGTGAAACTGGCTATGTTTTCTTAATTGTGGCTTCTTGGGGAGAAGACAAGCTTGGGGATCCCTTCAGAATACCATGTTCTATGCTGGACTCCTCAGGCAGAGGCTCAGAAGGAAATGCTGTCAGAATTTTTAGTTCTCTGGGATGTCAACTTAGTAGGCCTGTCAACCTCCATGCAATGTTAGGGGTTCCTTTCACTGCTGTAAGAGTGAGAATTAGTTTCCTACTGTGTCTTATAAGAGGTAGAAAATAATAGCCAAGGTCTAGTCACCCTCAAACCTCAAAATAGAGACAGTATGATTGTTTGAGTACCAGGTGATTTAACAGCTGGTTAGCCATTGATTCTGAATTTGGTTAGTTTGAGGAAGGGATCCTCCCCCTTTATCATGGGGGTTTCTCCACAGAGGCCAAGTGAGGTTGGTCCAGGGAGGAGGTGCAGCAAATTTACAACTAATCCAGGCCCTCTCGGACTCGGAGGAAGAGCATGACAGTGCCTGGGATGGTCGCCTCGGGGACCGGTACAACCCACCCGGTAAGACTTTAATATCAGAAGACTTTCATTAGAAAACTTTTTTTTTTAATTTTGACAAAGAAAAATGGTTAAATTGGAAGAAGATGAGATAATTCAGGGAATGAGGAAGTCCTTGCAGACCCAGTATTTTCAACCACATTGAGTGGGCTTGAGCACAGTTCTGCTAACTGTCCTCTGGAGCCAGAAGACCTAGGATGAAACTTCTCCTTGGTCCTCACAGAGGATGCAACCCCTGACACCCGGGAGCTGGAATGCAATGAGATCAAGACACAAGTGGAATTGGCCACAGGGCGGCTGGGGCTTAAGCGGGCAGCCCGGGAGCACAGCTTTCCTCAAATGCTGTACAAGGTAGGCCTCTCCACCTCCCATCAGCCTGGCAGCAGGCATATCAAGGTAGCCAGAAGCTCTGCCAGGCCCAGAGACGAGGGAAGTAAACTTTCCAAAGAAGCCTCAATTGCTGGAGCTGGAGAGTTCTTAGCCATTCTGCATTGGAGTATGGTAAAACTTACTATATGTGTAGTGCCCATTTCTGTAGCAAGAGCAGTAACTTCGGAGGAGGGGGCTTGGTGTGGCTGAAGTGGCCCTGTGTTTCTGCTAGCAATATTCCCCAATCCCTTCCTTTAGAGAGAACGGGGCCTCTGCCACCGGGGAAGCTTCTCCCTTGGAGAACGGTCTCAAGTGATGTCTCAGTGAGTATGGGGCTTGGTGGAGAGACTCTAAGGACCAGATAGGTTTTATCCCCTGAACTTTGAAGGGATAGATGTTAGAGGATCCTCAGGGATGTTAAGGTTAGTTTAAGTGGGATTGAAGCTTTGAGAGTAAACCAAGTAGAAAAGTATAGAAATTGAGCGGATGGTAGAATGAATGAGAAAGAAAGGGGATTGTACCAAAGCCAAAAGGGAAGAATGCCCTTGTACTCACATCCAGCTCTGTTAGGATTCTGCTAACGATTTACGCTCCTCATCCTGAACTCCCCTTACCCTCCTTTTCCCTCTCCTTCCCCAGCTTCTTACCCAATCACCTGGCCTTCACTGATACCTACTCTCAGAAGGCTTTCTGTGGCATCTACAGCAAAGATGGTCAAATCTTCATGTCTGCTTGCCAAGGTACCAGACCCTGGTCTTAGACACTGTCCTGGAACGAGGAATGGTGCTTCTGACTGAGGCTAGAAAGGCCCAGACCCTGACTTAGGGATGCTTATCAGAGCACATTCCCATGATCAAGGGAAGATCCCACAAATACACTGAGTGAGAGAGGCCTGACCTGGGCAGCATTCAAGGAGAGCATTCCCTAATTCTGCCTGGTTCTCACTTGCACAGACCAGACAATCCGATTGTATGACTGCCGGTATGGCCGCTTTCATAAATTCAAGAGCATCAAGGCCCGGGATGTAGGCTGGAGCATCCTGGATGTGGCCTTCACCCCTGATGGGAACCACTTTCTATACTCCAGCTGGTCTGATTATAGTGAGTATGCCCCAGACAGCCATTGTCTCTCTCCAGCCTGGGACCTGACGTCTCTAAACGTCCATCTCCTCTTTGCCAGGACTCCATGCCTTCTCCTGGAAAGATCACTTCCAGGGTTCTGACACCCTGGTTCTTTGTTCTATCTCCTCTCTAGCTTCACTTCCACCCACCTTCCCCCAGCCCTGAAAGATTCTTGTTTCTCTTGCTTCTCTTAGTTCATATCTGCAACATCTACGGGGAGGGAGACACACACACTGCCCTGGATCTAAGGTACTGGCTCCCCTTCCTGGTCAGACCCATCAGAAACTTCTCAAGGAAGGCTCTCCAGGAGCAAACCTCTTGAACTGGAACTCCTGCTTAGAGGGAAAAGTACACTGGTTGCAAGTTTCTCTGTGTGGATTCCTGGGAGGTACCCACCCATCCTGTCAGCAGAGGACCAGGGTAAAATAGATGGTTGCAGGATTATTTCTGGGTTCTCCCTGAGGCGACCCACAGTCTAGCACATGTTGGCAGGACTTCTTTTCCCCTGAGAACTGTGCCTTACAACCCTCATCGGAGTCTTAATGTTAATGTGGATTAACAAAGGCTGAAGGAAAGTCCACTTAACCCAGCTCCTCCTTTGCTCTTTTCAGGCCAGATGAACGTCGCTTTGCTGTCTTCTCCATTGCAGTCTCCTCAGACGGACGAGAAGTGCTAGGAGGGTGAGTGTTTGTGGGCGATGTTGCCCTCAGCTAATGAGGTAGGAGTCCTCCTGGAGACCAGCTCTGCTGTTACAGAGAGTGCACTGAATACCCCTACCCAGGCAGCTGTGGAGAACAACCAGCCCTTCTCCAAGGTCAAGGTTTATGACTTGCTTCGCATCTTATTCACCGTTTCCCCAGCATGAGATGGGAGGTCTGAAACCTCCTTGCAAACACACCTAACTCTCTCCCACCTCCTATATAAGAAGAGACAAGGGCTTGTCCCTCAGCAGGACTTCACAACAGGGACTCTCTAGAGCACACATAGTGTTGGTCCTCTCAGGCCTGGCTCGAGGACACTCTTTATCTCTTCCCTTTCAGGGCCAATGATGGCTGCCTATATGTTTTTGATCGAGAGCAGAACCGGCGCACCCTTCAGGTATTGCTTCTGAGACTTAGAGCCTCTGCTTCCTGGTCCTTGGCCTATTGGAAGACCCAGATAGAGGTCCTAGGTATCCTGGCCTCCTTCTACCCTAGATTGAGTCCCATGAGGATGATGTGAATGCAGTGGCCTTTGCTGACATAAGCTCCCAAATCCTGTTCTCCGGGGGTGACGATGCCATCTGCAAAGTGTGGGATCGACGGACCATGCGGGAAGATGACCCCAAGCCTGTGGGTGCACTAGCCGGACACCAGGATGGCATCACCTTTATCGACAGCAAGGTGGGCAGAGAGGTAGCACTGCATAGCCAGGCTACTAAGGTTCCCATTGTCGAGGAGAGGGTATCAAAGTGGACTGGTGTGGGAACTTGCCAGGGTGCTTATTAGCCAAGGTTGGTAAGATCTGGAGTTTAGGGAAGGGGCTTAAGCCAGGAAACATGAGATCTCTCGGTACCCACCTAATGGGTACCAATGGAACAGGGCAGAGCTTTCTGTACAAGAAAAGTAGAAGACAGTTAATCCAGGGTAGAATAGGAGGCCAAGCGAGTGCACTGAGCAAAGAAGGGGCAGCCCAGCAAGGGAGTAGGATATGGAATCAGAAAACCTACGTGAGCCCAAGTGGATGAGGAAAGAGGCAAGCAGTCAGAGGACTAGAGTTCATACCCCTCAACGGGAAAGGGAAGCTGGACTGACAGCACAGATGTTTGCAAGCTGACACTTCATTATCCATTTTGGGATTCACAGGGTGATGCCCGGTATCTCATCTCCAACTCCAAAGACCAGACCATCAAGCTCTGGGATATCCGACGTTTTTCCAGCCGGGAAGGCATGGAAGCCTCACGCCAGGCTGCCACACAGCAAAACTGGGACTACCGCTGGCAGCAGGTGCCCAAAAAAGGTGAGAATGGAAGGTAGAGCCTGAGATCTGGAGAGTGAAGAGTCAGGGGTGGTGGTTAAATATTTTACCCCCGGAGAGGCCTGTCACGGATGTAGTGAATGAGCCTGGAGCTGAGTCCTGGAGCCCTCCCCCTACTCCCCCTTGCCGGGCATTAAATCTTTATTTGCTAAACCATGAAGAAAGCCAAGGGTTCCCAGGGTTGGGAGCTGGGGATCAGTCAGAACTAACCAATACACAAGTATTTCAGTGTCTTAACAACAAGCAGAGCCATATTGGTGAATATCAGCTGACTGTTAGGTGGGTAAAGAGCCACCAGTTGGGGATTGGAGCATCAGTCTTTGGTAAGGACTGGTGATTTGGGAGAATCAAGATTCCCTAACCTAGGGCTCTCCCTGCACCCCTACCCAGCCTGGCGAAAGCTGAAGCTCCCAGGGGACAGCTCCTTGATGACCTACCGAGGCCATGGGGTGCTGCACACCCTCATCCGCTGCCGATTCTCCCCCACCCATAGCACTGGCCAGCAGTTCATCTACAGTGGCTGTTCCACTGGCAAAGTTGTCGGTAAGGACTGTGTCAGAACAGGGGCCTCGGGAAGGGCAGGCGTGTTTCTCTGGCATTCTGTCTGTAACTACCAATGACCACTTTAAAGAACCCAGTGACAACTATAAGTGGAATTTAATTTAGCTTGGGACAAGGGAGGCTTAACAGAGAAACAAAAAACCTTCTAATTATCAGCATTTTAAATTAAGACAAGGAACATCGAATTCTACTCAGTAAATATAATAGATTACCAAAAATATACTCGGTTCTGTTTTTTAGCCAGTCAAGGAAAGAGATTGCAGATGAAAGGTAGGAGGGAACACAGGTAACAAAGAATGACACCAAAAGACAGCAGCAAGTAGCAAAGGACATACAGCCACTAAAGCAGGAGAGATGCACAAACACAGCAATAGCTATTAATATAAGGAACCTAAGACGGTGCACTCAGATGGAGACCCATCTAGAAAAAGAGAAAGGTGCACCCCATCCAGATAAGGAACAGCAGGTTCATATGTCTGGACAGATCCGTTTTTCACTTTTGCTGTGCCTTCCAGATCTTTTGAGCTTTTTAGAAAATTTCTGCTAAAAGTTTCAAAGCCACATTGCATTTCTTAACTATAGACCTTGTGAAATTTAGCTGAGTGCCAGAGATACTCAAGCTCTGCTAGACCATACCCTCAACCTGAGGTAGGGAAAGGGAAAAGAAACTGAGAAATAACTCCATCCCCTGCTGTGGGCTTTGCTCCCCTGGGAAAGTGGGAAGTTGCCTGAGAGGCAGGCAGGTAAATGGTGCTGCTCAGGGAGAGATGAGGGGTGGCTAGAAGGCTCTGTGGTGGCCCCTCTCCACTCTGGCCTTTCTTGGACAGTGTACAACCTCCTGAATGGCCACATTGTGAAGAAGCTCACCAACCACAAGGCCTGTGTGCGTGATGTCAGTTGGCACCCCTTTGAGGAGAAGATTGTCAGCAGTTCGGTGAGGTTGCAAGGGTTAGGGGGCCAGTGCATGTCTGGGACTTGTACCTGGGAGGGGGCAGCACCCCCTGACTACTTGCCACCTTCTGTCCTGCAGTGGGATGGGAACCTGCGTCTGTGGCAGTACCGCCAGGCTGAGTACTTCCAGGATGACATGCCAGAGTCTGAGGAACACCCCAGCGCCCCTGCCCCAGCGCCCCACCCCTCCACAGCCTTTTCCTCGCCCCAGTAGATCTGACCTGACTGACCTCCAGCCCATACATGGCTGAGCCTCTTGATAAGCTCTCTGCCTTCTCCTCCCTTTCCCCCTTCTGGGGGATCTTTGGGAAATCGCTGGCATTCAGTGGAGAAAAACAGAAGCCCAGGCTTCCGGACCCTAACTGGGAAGATTCTCCCCATGGGTCGCCTCACGTGTTCATGCCCATTCGGCTTGGGTCTCTATCTCTGGCCAGGTTCTGGCAGGACTCCCATTATCTGGGGTGTGGCCTTCGTCAGCAGGAGAACTGTCCTGAGTGTTTTTAATCATGTTTGGATATAGGTGTTAGGTTCTAGATTAGATTCCTGAGGTGGGTCTGAACTGAGCTATCAGCCAGGCCCATTGCCCAGGCCTTTACATTAAGCATTAGACTGGCCAGTCAGAGGGCCAGGCATCCTGGCCTTTCTTCCAGAGGTTCTGATGGCTAGAGCTCTAGCCCTTTAGGGGAGGGTGGGATGGGTAAGGTGTGTCCTTAGCACCCTCCTGGGGTGGGAATTATGCCTTCTGTCTCCTGTGTCTGGGTGTTTGGTATAGGACAGGCTGTGGTGTGAGAGGTTCTGTGTGGCCCCACACAGGACAGGCCCTCCCCTCCCAGAGTATTCCATCTTGCTAGAGGCCAGCAGCTTCAGAGAGGATTGTTGAAGTAGGACTCCTTTGTCCTCTTACTGGCTTTGGCTCCCTCAATAAACTTTCTGTGGGAATCTGNGGTAGGCCCGGCCCTCCAGTAGTGCTCCCACCATCTGTCGTGACTCTTCCCAGTCCCTCCACATCACTCTGAAATAACAACCCTCATGGAGGTCTAACTCAGTAGGCAATAGGGCCAGACACAGAAGTTAGGGCTAGAGCAGGGGTCGGCAAACTGCAGCTCGCAAGCCACATGTGGCTCTTTGGGTACATTCCATTTCAAAAGTTTGCCGACCCCTGGAAGAGCCAATCCTGTCCCTCACAACAATTTAAAAATTATTTGAGAGCCATAAATATATTTTTACATAATCACCATTATGTGAATATCCCTTAAAATTTTTATAAATGAAACTATGATAGTTTTATTTTCGTTTTCAATTTTACTTCAGAGCCACACGCTTGTGACCCACAATTTGCTGACCCCTGGCGGCTCTTCCATCTCAAGTTTGCCGAACCCTGGTCTAGAGAATGACCCTTGGGGCAGGACCAAGAACAGAGGAGACCCAGGTGTCCTGGGTTTTCAAGAGGTAGAGTGGGACACTCACAGGTTCTTGTCCTTAGGGACCCAACGGAGACTGTGGTTCTCCAGGACGATGACTGGTGGCACATGAGACTGAGGCACCAGTTTCTGATTATCCAACTGTGTGGACAAGAAAGGGCAGGTGAGGGCTTCAAGGATTCCCTTTCCTACTTTCTTTCCAACCCCCTCCTCCAAACCCAAGCCTCACCATAATAAGTACTGCATCAGGGAAGAATTCTGCAATCCGCCCAGCAATTTTCAAGGCCAGGGGCCCAGGGCTGTGTAGAGGGAAGATCAGAGGCATGAGGAGTCGACTGTGGGCAGATCCCATCCATCTGAGCTGTGCCTCTCAGGTCTCATAGACATGGGTGCAGTGACTGCCTTTCCCTTTAGCTAAGCTGGGCCAGGGGAGGTGGGGTCAGGCCTGCTTGATACTTCATGCACAACTGCTTGAGGCTTGAGTGCTGTGGGAAACAGGTGCTCAACCACTACTGGTAAGAGTGGAAATCAAAGGTGGTCTTCCTGGAGGGTGATTGGGCATAACCACCCAAATTTGTATTATACATATGCTGACCCAGAAATTCCACTTATAAAGAAGTTACTGTAATAATAGGACAGTGTCTATAAAAAATATTTGGAAACAACCTCAATGCTTAATATAAGGCATTAAATAAATTATGGTACAGCCTTATTCACACTATATATAGCCTTAGGATAAAGTAGATGTTGGTGTAGAAATGGAAAGATATCAGCTATTTATTAAATGAGGGAAAAACAAATTACAANTTGGCAGAGAAGTGTGATCAATAAGACTTCGAAGCATAAAACATTAGGATAAGTTCTTTGGGAAAAGTAGAATGGAAATACAATTTCTGACTATTAAAATCTCATCACATGTTTTAAAATGGATAATGGCGAGGTATATAATTACTAGTGTTTAGATTCCATTCGATATATTTAAAAGAGTGATATAAATAGCTTTAGTTTTGAAATGTCAGTATATACAATACACTGGAAACTATGTCCTTTGCAACTATTTAAAATTACAATGAAAATTTTTTTGTCAGCTTAAAAATGTCTGAGGGGTTCTATAGGTCTTCATGTATAGGGTCCATGAGCAGAAACTATGCTGAAGGATCTGGAAGGAACCTGATTGATTGATCCATCTTGATCAGTTTGCAGAGGAGGGCACTAAAGACCAAGGAGGGTTAGTTGATTTCCCCAAAGTCACGTAGTTGAGCCCAGAACCCAGGTGTCCTTAGTTCTTTCACTACTTCGTGGGCCTCCACTGTGCTCTAAAATCCCACCACCAATTTTGAGGAATGAGGAAGGAAGACAACAAGGGACTGCAAAACAGTTACTGAATAACAGGGACATCGCTTGGGTAGGTTGCTCTCTGTACTGTGGCTCCAGCCCCAGTAGTCAGGTTGAGAAGCTGTCTCAGGTATGGTTGATGGTTGAGCCCAGGGTAATTGGTTGGCAGACACATCCTATGTTTTCATGGCTGAGGACTTTTCCTATAGGTCTCCACCCCTCTTTCCCCATCGCCTGGGAGTAAACCTAATCTTTGGATCTCTCAGAGTCCAACCTACACCATCACCATCTCATATAATATGGCTTTTTCAGGATTTTCATCTGTTGGCCATCGTAATAAACATACCAAAGAAAGGCCCCCTTTAGATCCGATGTCTTGTGCATTGCACAACCAGCATGGTTTACACAGCAGCCCTGGGCCCAAATTAGATGAGCTCCTCAGACCAGATGAGCTGGGGCTGAGCCGAGCCCCTTGAGTCACAGTGCAGAAAAGTGGATAACCTCACTGATGTGCCTCCCAGGCCTGAGTTGGAAACAATGTAGTGCACAGCCATCTTGCTGCATGCTCAGTGGTGAGCTCTTAATGCTCAGACCTGAGGGGTGAGGCTGGGCCATGCTGATGAGGCAGACACAGATTTTTTTAATGACCTCCAAGGTTTTGTTGGTTTTATCTTCCTGACCCCTGATCTCCCTGGGGAGCAAACACACTGTAAAGTTGGGGTGGGGTGTGGTTGACTGGCTTACCAAACAGGCAGATCCAAGCAGGCTATGGACAAAGACGACACTGATCAGTAGGTCTGACTCTGAGACATGAACTAGAACATGGTTAGAGCTTGGGACACAGACCTAGAGAGTCAAGGGGACATAGGGCTAACAGAAAAAGACACAGGCCACAATAAGGACACGTACCCCTCCACCCTGGCCCCTTACTGCCCCCCGCCCCTCTCCCCCGCCTGCCAGCTGCCAACAGGGCTCTGCTCTGTGTCTGCCACACCTGTCACTGCCTGTCCTTGTGAGGGAGGGGGGGGGCCATCAGCCCCTCCTCAGCTGCCCAGCAGAACAAGCAGTTAGTGGGGAGGGGAGGGAACATGGAGCGGGGGCCGGTGGTGGGGGCAGGGCTGGGGGCTGGGGCCCGAATCCGGGCACTGCTGGGCTGCCTGGTCAAGGTGCTGCTCTGGGTGGCCTCTGCCTTGCTGTACTTTGGAAGTGAACAGGCTGCTCGCCTCCTGGGCAGCCCCTGCTTACGGCGCCTCTACCATGCATGGTTGGCAGCAGTGGTCATCTTTGGGCCCCTTCTGCAGTTCCATGTCAACCCTCGGACTATCTTCGCCAGCCACGGCAACTTCTTCAATATGTGAGTCCACTCGAGGCCGTGGGCGCCGGCTCCCTGCATTCTGGGATCCTAGCTCCCTCCAGGCTTCTGTCATCCTGCCAGTACAGGCACTAAAAATAGGCTAGGAGGTTGAGGAGAAGGTCGGAGGAGGGGGAGGGGGACAGCGTTGTGGGGGTACAGGTAAAGTCAGGAGCAGGGCTGAAGAGGCAATATGGACCATAGAAGGCTGAATGAGCCTGTAAGGCGATGGCCAAGTTTAAGTGGATGGGGGTGGTGTGGTAGAGGGCATAGGAAACAGAGAGCCAGTAATGAAATATAGGACTGGCGACAGAGCAGTGATGGGAACACAGACCAGGGTGGAAAGATGGGGTTTAGGGGTCTCACTAGCCTCTCCTCTTCTCTGCCCACAGAAAGTTTGTGAATTCGGCATGGGGCTGGACATGCACCTTTCTGGGGGGCTTCGTGCTGCTGGTGGTGTTCCTTGCTACACGGCGGGTGGCAGTGACTGCCCGGCACCTTAGCCGGCTAGTGGTGGGGGCAGCCGTGTGGCGGGGAGCTGGCCGGGCCTTCCTGCTCATCGAGGACCTGACCGGCTCCTGCTTGGAGCCTCTGCCCCAGGGCCTGCTGCTCCACGAGCTGCCCGACCGACGCAGCTGCCTGGCGGCCGGCCACCAGTGGCGAGGCTACACTGTCTCCTCCCACACCTTCCTGCTCACCTTCTGCTGCCTGCTCATGGCTGAGGAAGCAGCAGTGTTCGCCAAGTACCTGGCCCATGGGCTGCCCGCTGGTGCGCCCCTGCGCCTCGTCTTCCTGCTCAATGTGCTGCTGCTGGGCCTCTGGAACTTCTTGCTGCTCTGTACCGTCATCTATTTCCACCAGTATACTCACAAGGTGGTGGGTGCTGCAGTGGGCACCTTTGCCTGGTACCTCACCTATGGCAGCTGGTATCATCAGCCCTGGTCTCCAGGGAGCCCTGGCCATGGGCTCTTCCCTCGTCCCCACTCCAGCCGCAAGCCTAACTGAAAGAAATAAAGGCACTTCAGGCCTCGCTCTGGCCCCTCTCATCATTTGGTGGGGGGACCTGGAAAGGGTGGAAAGGGCTCCTCAGTCATTCCTTGAATGTCCTTCCTTATGCTTGATGGCCATTTCTCCTGCTGTCCTTTCAGTCTCCTAGTCCTTCCAGACTTTGAGCTATCTGAGGCTGTGATGTCAAGGAGTGGCACTGCTAGGGCAGGTAACAATGCACTTAGGTATGGGCAACATTCCTGCTGCACAGGGGCTCCATCTCCAGCCTGGTTGATTCATTTTTCCTGCCTGCTCCACTGAATCCCCCTCCGCTTTCCTTGGGGAGCTGTCTATCTAGGTACCCTACTCAGGGACCCTTCCTACCCTGTCTTCCCCATAGGGGGTCTATGTGTGCTCATTTATTTAACAGATGTTTATTGAGCCAAGCATAACTTCATACCACGTGAATAACAAAGACAGGGTTTTTGCTGCTTGGGTGCTTATGTGTTACTGGGAGAGGCAGATGATAAATTCATAAATAATAAGAGCAAAATTTTGTATTGTGCTTACTCCATGCCAGGCACCATTCTAAGTGTCTTAAAAGTCTTTATATAAATTAACACATTTAGCCCTCACAACAACACTATGAAGTAGGTTTGGTAGTGTTCCCACTGTACGGTTGCAAAAACTGAGGCACAGAGGTTTAGTAACTTGTTCACAACTAGTAAATTATCAGTCAGGATTAAAAACCCCGGGCACTATGGGCCTATTGTCTGTGCTGTAAGCAAACTACAGCCCTCCTGTGGTCATTTTTTGTATGGCCTGATTGCTAAGAACGGTTCTTACGTTATTTTTTTTGGTTCTTACATTTTTTAATGGTTGAAAAAAATTAAAGAATATTTCATGATATCTGAAAATTAAATGAAATTCAAATTCATGCCCATAATGTTTTATTGGAGCCTAGCAATGCTAATTCATTTAGATAAAACTGTTTACCTGCTAACAATGGCAGAGTTGAGTACTGTAGTTATTACAGACACTATATAGCCCACAAAGCCTAAAATATTTACTATCTGGCTTTTACAGAAAAAGTTTGCCAACCTTGGTCTAAACCACACTATCCTCAAAAAATAAACTAATATCAGAGATAAGTGCTATGACGTTACTAAAACAGGCTGCTTTGTAATAGACTTAGAAGGAGGTACTTTATAAAGAATGATGGAGAGCTCTCTCTGAAGAAGAGACATTTGCACTGAGAGTGGAATGACAAGGTGAGGCAGGGAAAGGGATTAGCCAGGGCAAATGCCCTAAAACAGGCAGAAATAAATGTGATACCGACAGCAAATGAAAAGCCAGGTATTTACAAGTGTAAAGAAATGGGGCAAAAGCAGTAGCAAGTAAAGTTGAATGGCAACAGGTGTCCGGTAGTCCAGGCAGGCCTTATGGGCCAGGAAAGCCCTTTGGGTTTCTTCCTAAGGTCAACAGGAAACTGAGAACGAGTTCTAAACAAGGAGTGCGATCCTGTTGCTCTGTGGAAAGCCAGCTACAGAGCAATGGAGTCCACATAAGGGTCAGGAGAGAGCTGACCGGGGCCTGGGTTGGAGTGGTGCCAGTGTCTGAATGTCACTGCATGGCCGGAGGATGCCCGTGGAGCCAGGGGCCCAGGTTGGCAGGGATAGGGAAGGGAGGCCACGTCTTGCTCCACCGCTGAGGAAAGATGGAAGAGGGGCAGATAAGGCTTATCACAGCCCCAGGCCGAGCAGGTGAAGAAGAGAGCAGAAGAGCAAGGAGGATGGAGGAGGTGGCGGGGCGTCGAGAGTGGGCGGGAAGTCAAGAGACCGACATTGGCAAGGGGGCGGGAAGGGGAGGCGGCAGGATGGGCGGAGGCAGTAGGCGGGAAGTCAAGAGACCGACATTGGCAAGGGGGGTGCGAAGGGGGAGGCGGGGCGTCGGCAGCAAGGCGTGGAGGAGGCGGCGAAGGCGGGGCGTCCAGAGGCAGGCACAGATAGCGGAGGTGGAATGGAAAGGTGGGATGGGCGGAGCGGGCGGAGGAGGTCGGAGGACACACTCCTCTCCGGCTCTAGAGGGAGCCCCGCCTGAGCGGCCTCCCTCCGCCCCACCTCCCCTCTCCTCTCCCTGGACTGTCCCCGCCTCCCCCATTGCCTCCACTCCCCTCTACCCAGGAAGGCCGTGCGGGTTACGCGCGCTGCTTTCGCTTTCTCTTCCCGGTGCCCACTCCTCGCTCGACGTGCGGCGCTAGGCTCCCCGCCCCAGCCATGGCCATGCTCAGGGTCCAGCCTGAAGCCCAAGCCAAGGTGAGCGCTGCGGGTTCGAGGAAGGGCCCATTAGGGAGGCGTGGCGCCGAAAGGCTGAGGGCGCCAGTCATCCGTCCCCTAGCCCCCAGGGGCGAGTCGAGGTCAGTCCTCGAGCCCAAGTGAGCCTCGATGCGCGGAGCACCTGAGCCTCAGGGAGACCGGCGGGGTCCGCCTGCCGGGATTGGAGAGGCGGCTGAGGTTCAGCGGGGTGAGGTGAAGCGGAGAGCTAGCGTGGAGGGGAAGTCCGTTGGCCTGGGGCCGGGCCCACACACAGACAGAGTGCGGAACCTGCCTTGTCTCCTCATTGCTTTTCCCACGGGGAGGGCCCTGGGGCCCACTTCACAGGGCACTCCGTCCCTGCCCGAGTCGCAGAAGGCTCTTACGCCTCTCCTTACACAGCCCAGGAGACTCGAGGGATCTGTTCTCACTTCAACCACTAAGCCCTTCACCGCCAGGAATGCTCTCATCCCCCAAATCCAGTCCCATGGGGCGCCACTCCACCCTTCCCCAGGCCAGGCCATACACAATCCTAAGGGAACGGTCCTCATATGAACTGGCCATAAAGCCAGGTATCTGAAGGGCTGCCTGTGTCCCACAGGTGGATGTGTTCCGTGAAGACCTGTGTACAAAGGTAAGAACTGCCCCATCAGCACCGCATCATCCGTACCCAACTCCCACTGCTTAGCCCTTCATTGTTTGGCATCTGCATCCCTGCTTCACTGCCTAAGAAGGGCATTTGATTCCGACCCCCATCCTCCCCCACCCCCCACTTCACTCACAGACAGAGAGCCTGCTCGGGAGCTATTTCCCCAAGAAGATTTCTGAGTTGGATGCATTTTTAAAGGTACTAGGGCTGGGGAGGGAGCTAGAGAGTAGGAGCCAAGGGGAGAGTCTGGGAGGCCATGAGAGTGAGGAGGTGAGAGAGATGCCCTTGCCTCCAGCCCTCCTCCTACCCTGCACCAGGAGCCAGCTCTCAATGAAGCCAGTCTGAGCAATCTGAAGGCCCCTTTGGACATCCCAGTGCCTGATCCAGCCAAGGAGAAAGAGAAGGAGGAGCGGAAGAAACAGCAGGAGGCAAGCTGGGAAGAGCTGGGAGGGGGGCCAAACCACGCAGAAAATCAGCCTTGGGCCTGACTCCCAAGAGCCCCTCTTTCCCCGCAGAAGGAAGACAAGGATGAAAAGAAAAAAGGGGACGATGAAGACAAAGGTACTACTATGGAGGCAAGGGATTTGAGTCTCACCTCCCAGGAGTTCCTCCTGAAGGATTCCTCTTCCCCACCCCTCACACAGTCCCAGTCTTGTACCTGACCCATTGCCCGCTCTAGGTCCTCCCTGTGGCCCAGTGAACTGCAATGAGAAGATTGTGATCCTCCTGCAGCGCCTAAAGCCTGAGATCAAGGATGTCATTGAGCAGCTTAACCTGGTGAGCCCTCCCACTTCTACTCCCAGGCTTTAGGTCAAACCCTTTGTCTTCCTCGGTCCCTGCCAGTTAGGGCATGGCACTTGCCAGGTCTTAGCAGGAGAGGGCACAGCAAATGAAACCAGAAGTCCAGGCCCTGAGGCTCAGAATGGACCTGGCATACCTACATCCACTGTGGGCAGGGAAGCAAGGAAGGACAGGAACCTGGGAATTGGGTTTGGGGCTAATGTGGCTTTGATGCCATTCCCTCCTCCCAGGTCACCACCTGGTTACAGCTGCAGATACCTCGAATTGAGGATGGAAACAATTTTGGAGTGGCTGTCCAGGTGAGAGCGCTGCCCACACCTCCGCCCTCCTTAGGTCTCTAGTCCATGCTGTTGTCCACTTTACCTCTTGCATTCTTTCCTCAGGAGAAAGTGTTTGAGCTGATGACCGCCCTTCACACCAAGCTAGAAGGTTTCCACACTCAAATCTCCAAGTGAGTGTCTGCCCAACTGCACCTGCACGCACACTCTGCCTTTGGCTTGGACAGAGGCCTGGGCTGTCTGCTCCTTCTCCTATGCCACACCTTTCTATTTCCCACAGGTATTTCTCTGAGCGGGGTGATGCCGTGGCCAAAGCAGCCAAGCAGCCCCATGTGGTAGGTGAGGCCCAGGTCAGGGTATATGGGGGGAAGGGCATGTTTGAAGTTAGGCCTGACCCAGGTCTCCCACAGGGTGATTATCGGCAGCTGGTGCACGAGCTAGATGAGGCAGAGTACCGGGACATCCGGCTGATGGTCATGGAGATCCGCAATGCTTATGTGAGGAGGAAAGGGTGGGCAAGGGTGGGCACAGGCAGCTTTCCCAGGCCACCCACTCCCTGACCCTGCAGGCTGGGGGAGAAGGATGACAAAGTTCAGTCTCTTCACAAGGCTGAAAATGAGGCACAGAGCCACTGGGCCTACGACTGATCCCCACTCCTCCTGGCCCTGTAGGCTGTGTTATACGACATCATCCTGAAGAACTTTGAGAAGCTCAAGAAGCCCAGGGGAGAAACAAAGGGAATGATCTATTGAGAGCCTCCTCACATACTGTGGTGGGTCCAGCAGAGACCATCCTGTCTTTGACAGGGGACTTCAGACTTTGCCCCACCTTCCGCCTGTTGAGGTTTCTCCCTCCCCTTGCCTCCCAGGCACAATAAATATAGTCANTCTCTTTTCTTTCTCTTTCTCTTTCCTGTCTCAGGTCTTTTATCCTCTCACTTCAAGAAAATAGTTTCAACAAAGCCTTCAGATATGCTCCTCTATGGGAGAAAATACCCCTTTGATGCCCCAAGATGAAGGGAAATAGCAAAAACATTTGTTAACTGAGCTTTTCAGTAGGCATCCCCTCACCGACCTCAGAAACTCCCCAGCAAGGAGAAAACAAGATAGCAGAAAATAAGCACAATTTAGATTAGCACACCCACATCACCTCAGCTCTGGGGCTGGCCCTGGAGCTGGTCCAGTGTACAGGAAGAAGTAGCCCAGAGCCAGAGAGAACCTAGTGGGCAGAGATGCCAGGCCCCATCTGGGCGCTTCAGCCTCCCAGCCACCGGTGAGGAAGTGGAGACATGCAGAGGCTGGGCAGCATGCCCCAGAGCAGACCGATGGTGTGGTCAGCAGGGGACTTGGAGTTCACATTCCAGCTCTGATCCATATTCCCCCACATTTCATTATCTCCAAGGCAGTTTTCAAACCTGGAATAAACACCTCCGGGGGTTCTCAAATACACAAGGGTAAAAGGTACCTATTTCATAGTAAAAGAGGTCGTTTTTAAAAAATGAATTGTCCAGTTCTTTGGCCTCCATGTGTTCTCTTTCCTCCAAGTGATCTGCCTAGTGTGAAACTCATGCCAGATCTTTTCCTGTGGCCCTTTTCATTTCCCCTACGCCACATCACCCCAGAGATGCCATCCATCTGACCCAGAACCTGTATTACCTCCAGGGTACCCAAGTTAGAGGCAAATTAAAAAAATTATTAGTATCCTTAAACCCTCATTTAATCAAGGTCCCAAGGACCACTTATCCTTTTCATTAAGAGATGCATTTCCAGGGCTGGCCGAGTGGCTCAGTTGGTTAAGAGCTTGCTGAAGAGTGTGAGCTCTGAGCAACAGGGTTGCCAGTTGAATTCCCACATGAGCCATTGAGCTGCGCCCGAACTGAGCTGCCAACAGGTGGCAGGATGGCTCAGCTGGTAAGAGCAAGTGCTCCTAACAACAAGGTTGCCTGTTCGATGGTGGGCTATGCCCGCCCGCAACTAAAAACTGAGCTTGGCACCTTGAGCTGAACTGCCCCCCTGGTGGCTCAGAAGATAGAGCACACACTCTTAACAACAAGGCTGCCAGTTCGACTCCCGCATGGGATGGTGGCTACACCCACCCGCAGCTAATTGAACCCAGCACTTTGAGCTGAGCGGCGCAACTGGACTTGGAGCTGAGCTTGCTGCGTCCTCCACAACTAAGATTGAAGGACAACAACGTGGCTGTTCCCCTCCCCCAATTCCCCAACACTGTTCCCCTCCCCCAATTTCCCAATAAAATATTAAAGTAAAAAAAGATGCATTTTCAACACATTTGCGGTTTATTATCAAAACGTGTGAAATGTTTGTTGTACTAATAATACATTTTATACTAACAATTATGAAAATTTAATCCAGAAGGAAAAATTTTTAACTTTTGGGGTCTATGAACACAGGAAATGTTTAAAAACTAAATTTCAAATTATATACATTTTTTGGCAGAGAAGTGTGATCAATAAGACTTCGAAGCATAAAACATTAGGATAAGTTCTTTGGGAAAAGTAGAATGGAAATACAATTTCTGACTATTAAAATCTCATCACATTTTTTAAAATGGATAATGGCGAGGTATATAATTACTAGTGTTTAGATTCCATTCGATATATTTAAAAGAGTGATATAAATAGCTTTAGTTTTGAAATGTCAGTATATACAATACACTGGAAACTATGTCCTTTGCAACTATTTAAAATTACAATGAAAATTTTTTTGTCAGCTTAAAAATGTCTGAGGGGTTCTATAGGTCTTCATGTATAGGGTCCATGAGCAGAAACTATGCTGAAGGATCTGGAAGGAACCTGATTGATTGATCCATCTTGATCAGTTTGCAGAGGAGGGCACTAAAGACCAAGGAGGGTTAGTTGATTTCCCCAAAGTCACGTAGTTGAGCCCAGAACCCAGGTGTCCTTAGTTCTTTCACTACTTCGTGGGCCTCCACTGTGCTCTAAAATCCCACCACCAATTTTGAGGAATGAGGAAGGAAGACAACAAGGGACTGCAAAACAGTTACTGAATAACAGGGACATCGCTTGGGTAGGTTGCTCTCTGTACTGTGGCTCCAGCCCCAGTAGTCAGGTTGAGAAGCTGTCTCAGGTATGGTTGATGGTTGAGCCCAGGGTAATTGGTTGGCAGACACATCCTATGTTTTCATGGCTGAGGACTTTTCCTATAGGTCTCCACCCCTCTTTCCCCATCGCCTGGGAGTAAACCTAATCTTTGGATCTCTCAGAGTCCAACCTACACCATCACCATCTCATATAATATGGCTTTTTCAGGATTTTCATCTGTTGGCCATCGTAATAAACATACCAAAGAAAGGCCCCCTTTAGATCCGATGTCTTGTGCATTGCACAACCAGCATGGTTTACACAGCAGCCCTGGGCCCAAATTAGATGAGCTCCTCAGACCAGATGAGCTGGGGCTGAGCCGAGCCCCTTGAGTCACAGTGCAGAAAAGTGGATAACCTCACTGATGTGCCTCCCAGGCCTGAGTTGGAAACAATGTAGTGCACAGCCATCTTGCTGCATGCTCAGTGGTGAGCTCTTAATGCTCAGACCTGAGGGGTGAGGCTGGGCCATGCTGATGAGGCAGACACAGATTTTTTTAATGACCTCCAAGGTTTTGTTGGTTTTATCTTCCTGACCCCTGATCTCCCTGGGGAGCAAACACACTGTAAAGTTGGGGTGGGGTGTGGTTGACTGGCTTACCAAACAGGCAGATCCAAGCAGGCTATGGACAAAGACGACACTGATCAGTAGGTCTGACTCTGAGACATGAACTAGAACATGGTTAGAGCTTGGGACACAGACCTAGAGAGTNAGCCTTATTCACACTATATATAGCCTTAGGATAAAGTAGATGTTGGTGTAGAAATGGAAAGATATCAGCTATTTATTAAATGAGGGAAAAACAAATTACAAAACTATGTATAATTTGATCCAGATACATGGTTAATATGTTAAGTAGATAATTTTTTTCTACATACATATAAAGAAATTTCCATTTTTTAAAGTTGCTGGTTGGGCTTCCTGTGTTTTCAGCAGTTGAGAGACACTTCAGCTAAAGCAGGTGTCAACCTTATCTTATTGATACACAGCTGTCCTCCCCACCTCCCCGCAGCTCCTCCAGAGCATTTTTATATTTATATTTCCTCACTTCAAGTACCCAGTCCTTGCTCCTAAGCGTTTGATTAAGGAAAGATGGGAGGAATGACCAAGAGGGATTCTCTTGACCCGCCAGCCACCCTCACCCAATAACCCTTGGCCTTCTGCCTCTGGCTACCTCACTCACCTCTGGTCGTCCAGAGCTGCATTGGCATGGTAGTACCCAGCCACTACCAGACCGGTCTGCGCGCCCCACACATCCACCTGCCGCGGGAAAGGGGCCATCAGTAAACTAAATCGTGCCGCCCGCCCTGTGGGTGTGCACTGCAGCCAGGAGGCCAGGGATAGACTTGGGCTAGGGTGTTAGGGGGTTTTGTGGAGGTTGGTGGGCGTCCAGCGGGGGCACCTGGTTGAGGGCGACCTCCAGCATGACAGACAGGGCCAGGTGGCTGTGGAACAGGGGCACACAGTCGGTGAGGCACAGGCATTCCCCCGGCGCCGGCGCCGGCGCCAGCAACAGCCCGTTGACCGCGGCGTGAGGATACCGAGCGGCGTGCAGGCACATCTTCACGTAGGCTCTGGCCGAGATCTCCACCTCCCCCATGGTGAGCGGGACTCCCGCTCGCGTCCACGAAGCTTCCTCCAGCGCCCCGGCGCCCTCCCTGGCGTTTCCCGTGCCCACTCACTTAGGTTCGGTGGTGACGCTAACTCTGCTAGAGGGCAGCCCGCCGGCTCCAGGAGACCTCCGCTCCAGAGCCCGGCCCCCACCAGGCCCGGAACGCAGGCGGTCCCGATTGCATGCTGCGGCACCGAACTCCACCTCCGCCCGCCCCCGGAGGGCGGCCGCAGATCCAGGCTTGTCTCGGGGACCCAGAGTAGTCTGCTCCAAGCAGGACTCCCTTTTGGAGTCCCGCCCACATGATGCCCTTTGATAGGCTTAGATATTTTTATTTTGTCCAATCACCGGCCGCGTCCAAACCTTGCTCCTCCTTTGTCTCCAGCGTACTGGAAATAACCCACAACTGAACAGGAAAGAGAACTGTTTGCACGCTGATTGGCTAGGATACCTGATTTCGGGTCTTGATTGCAGGACGGCTTCCTCTGTTACCTGTGCCACCCGCCCCCAGAGGCCCGGCAGAGACTGCAGGTTGGAGAGTGCGCCCCAAGTCTGGTGTCCCGGAGCAGTGGATCTTTGAACTTGGGCACCTACGGGTCGCCTCGTTCCTACTATCAAAGGAGTGGATTTGTACTCTAGACCGGCTCTGACACTTAGTAATGAGCCATAGCATGGTTTTCCTTAATGTAATATATGCAGAAATAAAGACAGCAATTGGCCGGAAGGGAAAAAAAGGACAAACAAAACAAAACAAAACAAAAACCACCCTTCCCATAATGTCCTGTGGTGTAATTTCGTTCATCATAATGCCTTGGGAGGGTTTTTTCCCCTCCCAGCCCTTGAGAAGTCCAATCATTCATCCATAATTCTTCCAGTGACATCTCACCGTCTCTCCAGGCTTGCTCTGAGCTGATGAGGTGATGAAAGTTTCTTCCTTTCTTCATTCCCTGACCTCAGCCACAGAACTTTTCCTCGTTTGTCCAAAGCATGGTTATTCCAATAAGGGCTCTGCCCAAATGCCATATCTTCCAGGAAGCACTCATGAGGTCCCCAGATGGAAATAATCTTGTGAAATGCCCAAATACAGGTTATCTTCATGGCTACTATGGCATGTACAAGTTTCCACCACATTTTTTAGGATGACTTCTTAAGAACAGAATGGGCATCTAATTCATCTTTGTCTTCCTGGCACCCTCTCCCTTTCCCACCACCACATTCACATTCAGTGTCTGGACATAGGCAGCACTGAGTAAATGCTTTTTGAATGAATGACACACCAGAGGTAATTCACATATAGTATAAGTCATTTATTTCCCTTCTAGCCCTGGGCTCAGTACATAGATGGCTTCTCTTCACCCTTTGGGTTGACAATTTTCTCCAGGTTGCTGATGATGATATGATAAAGCTCAGCCTGGAAGAAGGCCAGAAGGACAGCAATCAGGTTCTTGGTCTTTCCTCTGCCCTCCTCATCCACCTCCCTTAGAGGCTTACTCCATACTCACATAGAAGGCCCTCAGGTCCAACACCATGGCCCTGAGCTCCCCGTAGGCTGCCTCATCTCGCTCATGCACTAGGGCCCGGTAATCCATCTGGGATGTGGAAAGCAAAGCTGAGTCAGCCTCAATGAAGGTTAGGACATAGTCTGCATTTCTCATACAGGGAATAGGTAACTTGAGGATGAGTCCTTCTCAGCACCAAGAAATGGGATTCTCACAGGACCAAGCGGAGAAAGGGGTTCAGGTTTTTGAAGCCCAAATCAGTTTTCCTAGACAATGCTTTTGGCTTAATATTCCCCACATTGGGAAGGTGATAAACAAGACAAAGAGGACCTTTAGTCCCGTTTCCTCATCCCACCCCCAGCCAGCCTCAGCTGTAAGACTGTTGGACAATCTACTTACTACATGGGTCTCCTTAGAGGCCTTGGCCACAGCATCCCCGCGTTCTGAGAAGTACCTGCCGGAAACAAGGGGAATAACCACAGGAATGAGGGTTCAGAAAGGTATTTTCCCTCAGACCCTTCCCAAAGCCCTATATCATCCTGATGGGACTGCCCAGCTTTGGGAGTCCCAAAGAAATAGCCCCACAGTGCTCCCGTGCTGGCCCTCAGCTGCCCTCACTTGGAAATGGTTGTCTGGAAGGCTTCTACTTTGGTCTTGACTGCATTCACCCTCTCCAGCACCTTCTCCTGCAGTGACAAAAGAGATGGGAGGCAAAGAAAACACTTCATCTCTTCCCTCCTTCACTCACCATCTCCTTCCTCCTCTCAGTTATGTCTAGCTCCTACCCCCCCACTCCCCAAGTCTCTCACCACTCTTAATATACTTATACACCCTTCTCTTACCTGAATTGCCACCCCAAAGTCATTTCCATCCTCAATCTTGGGGATCAGGTGCTGGATCCATGTGATCACCTACGTTAAGAGGTATCATGTAGGAATCATTCAACAAACTTGCTGGGTTCTTCCTATTTCCATTACTTCCTAATATGACATATTTGAGCATTTATTATGTGCCAGGCACTGTGCTATGTATTATATATCTCATTTAATCTTCACAGCAACATTTCAGGGTATATATTTTTATTATACCCACTTAACAGATGAAAAAACTGAGTCACAGAATGTCTAAGTGACTTACTTAAGTTAATCAACTGGGTAAGTGATAAAGTCATGATTTGAACCCAAGCAGTCTCCCTCTAGGGCCCAAACTCTTAAACCAACTCACTTTCATAGCACCTGCACTGTGCACCTGGTATAGCAATGAGTTCTGAGATTATGCAGGTGGATACAGCAGAGTCTCCGATTTCAGGGATACCACTGTGATATCAGAGGTCTAGCAGAACAAAAGGTTATCTAAACCCAAGGCACAGAAGGAAGCTTCCTAGTTCAGAAATAGGTTCCTGAATGAAGAACTTGCATCTCTGAATACCAGAGCCTGGCCTGATTTGTCTCCTCATTCTATTTCTCCCAGTTCCCAGACTTACCAGAATGCATTTTTCTTTGAGAGTCCAGACTTCTGGCTTAACCAGGGCAAGCAGAGCCAGGACCTTCTCATTCCCAGGAAGAAAGCCGCATTTAGGGACTATAAAAAAGAGGGGATTTAGGTCCCTTTTCATTAAGCAGTCACTGTGCCATTTCCCTTCCCATGGCCACCCCTTTCTCTCTTACCTTCTTTCTTCTCCTGCTTATCTGTTTCCATCTAAGGTAAAAAGGGGGAAAGTAGCTTCAGAAAAAGTCATGGAGGTTGAAGAGCCATCATCATCTCCACTGGGTTTATATAGTCTGAGCTTTATACCCTTAATGCCTTACCTCATCATCCTTGGGAGGGGGGTCTGGAATAGGGATGTCCAGTGGGGCCCGGAGAGAGGTCAGGTCAGCCACGTTGAGAGAGTCCTTCTGCACAGAGCTTACTGTCAGGGGATGCCCAGCCTTCCCTGAGCATATCCCACCCGCCCTCTGGCTCCCAACCTAGGCTCAGGTCTCACACCATTCTAACATTCCCAGTCCACCACTCATAACCGCTCATAAATGCTCTCTGCATGTTGAGCCCAGTTGTTAGCTAGAGAGGGTGGGTGGAGAGGCCATGGGATGGGGCATGGGATGGGACAGGAGGCGCCCACACTACTCACTTGCAAGAGCTGAGTCAGGTACATGATTTTCTGTGGCAAGAATCTGTAGAGGAATTCTTCAGCCTATGGGTTACATTGTAAAGGTGGGAAATCACAGAAGACATTCAATGAGATGCCTGAGAAGTGGGACTGGAAGGGTCCTTGGAAATCATTGAACCCAAGAGCTACAAATGAAGAAACTGAAGCCCTGAAAAGTGAAGGGATTTGCCCAAACTAGGAAGTGGTACAAACAAGGTTAGGACTGTGGTATATCCCTCCTTTGGGGTCAATGTTCTCCTCCACACCAAAACAGGGGAGAAAAATGGCAGAAATGGGGAGAGTATTAAGAGAAGTCAAATTAAAGGTAGAGATAAATAATTAAGAGCTTATCTTGGGTGAAATCTTGATAAGGAAAGAGGGCTCAGGTCTAGGGTGGGTTTGGGGGTCACTCTGAGAGGTTGTGACCCTCAAGTATTGGTTTAAAATTCTGGGTCAAATCGCTTGAATCCAGGAAACTGACTTACCTCCTGGAAAAGATTTTGCCGGAAGACATCCACCTGAACAGAGAGCAGTACCCGGATGTCGGTTAAGGGTCTCAGTTGTCAAGAGTAAGATCCCACCCCACAATGGGATACCTCCAACTTGGTTCAGGCCTTTCCCACAAGCCAGATTTCCTTGGAAGTCCATGCTCAGTGGAGATACTGGTCTAAGAGCAGGAATCTGGGAATCCCCGGGGCAGAAGTGAAAGCACTGGAGAGGTTGGAGGAACTCTCTGGTACGGCTTTGGACCCCTAGAGCACCCAGCTTGGACTCCATCCAGGAGGGCTCCCTGGACCCCTTCTGGACTCCCGGTCTCCGTTACCTGTTTGCGGGCTTCCCCGCTCAGGCGTACCCCACACGGCTTGGCCATGCTGCTCCAGTCGCTAGATCTTCGGTCTCCCGGTTCGCCGCCTGGGCTTTCGCTTTCACTCCCCACGTCCAGGCCCGCCCCCCTTAACCCCACCCCTTTCCTTTTTTTCGCCCTCCCCCTGGCAAGCTGCAAACCATAGGGAGCCCCTCAGCCATTCTCGGCCAGTTGAGACTAGGAGAGGCGGTGCTGACTCGGTCACAAGCCCAGGGGCTGTCCGAGGGAGGGGCTAGGACGGGTGGGACCGCAGAGCCCGAACTGGAGCAATCTTTCCAGAGAAGGGGTGGGGCTTACAGGGAGAGGCAAGGGTAGTCCGGGGCAAGTCCAGGGTTGGGGAAAGAGGGATGGAGAGTGGGAAAGGGGGTGTTCAGTGCTGGGGCTCTCCCTAGAAGTCTCGATTGTGAGGAGGGGCTAGAGAGGAATCAGAGCGGTGGGAGAAGTAGGAGGAATCAGGGCCTGGGCTGAGAAGGACTAGGAGACTATGAAAGGGAGTAGGCGCGGGTCTTCCTCCCGGAGGGCGCCTTGCCTTCAAGACCGACTGCAGAAGGAGCGGAGCTCGCTTGAGCCGGGCTCAGGCCGGCCAGAGTCGAGTCCCCGGCAATTCAGAAACGAGCGGCATCAGCCTAGAGGAAGGCAGGGAAGAGCTCTAGAACAGGGTTAAAAGCCGAGAGGCTCTAGGGGAGGAGCCAGCGACCATTTACCCTTCTCATTGGCTGGACCTTCTTGGCCACGCCCCATAATTCCCTGACCCCGCCTTGTCTTTACCTTAGACCCCTCCTCTTCCCCTGAAACTGGGTCGCAATCCCGCCCTCTTTCCTAGTACTTCCTGTTCCCGGTTAACCCTGGCGGGGGGTCGGGCGCTGAAGAGTGACAGTGGCCTGAGTGACCCAGGAAGGTTGCGCGGAGTGGGTCTGGCCGCGAAGCTAAATACCAGGCAGGAGCGGCGCCGCTCAGGCCGCGCACAGCCTGTGCGGTGTCCCGGTGGGCCGCGGGACTGGGGCTGACTCCTGTCTCGGGATGCCGGTGGAGGAGGAGAAGCGGGCCTTCCTGGAGGCCCGCGAGGAGCTGGCGAGCGCCCTAAGGAGGGATTCCGGGCAGACGTTTTCCGTGGAGCAGCTCCGGCCACTGCTGGTCACTTCTCTGCCTCCAGCCTCCCGCTACCTGCAGCTGGACGCCGCACGACTGGTCCGCTGTAACGCTCACGGGGAGGTGAGGCCCGATGTGGCTGGGGAGGGAGACTGAGGATCTGAGCCCGGAATGGGGTTCACAGCTCTCTGCTCTCTGACTGCTTCCAGACCCGAAACTACCTCAACACCCTGTCCACGGCCTTGAACATCCTGGAGAAATATGGCCGCAACCTCCTCAGCCCTCAGAGGCCCCGGTACTGGCGCGGGGTCAAGTTTAATAACCCGGTCTTTCGAACTACGGTGGATGCTGTGCAGGTGAAGCCCCTAGGGACTGTTATGGGAGAAGGGAATTTGGCCTGCGCCGTGGGTTGGGTAGAAAGGGCCTGAGGCTGTGCCGAATGTGGAGGGGTTCTGCTCTATTGAGAAGGGGCATTGCTGGGTGATGACTGGCTGTGAATGTGTGGCAGGGGGGCCGGGATGTTCTGCGATTGTATGGCTACACAGAGGAGCAGCCTGATGGGTTGAGCTTCCCTGAGGAGCAAGAGGATCCAGATGCATACCAAGTTGCTACAGTCACACTGGAAGTACTGTTACTTCGGACAGAGCTCACCCTACTGTTACAGGTGAGGTGTCTCTAGTTCTGAGGACTTAAGCACCAGGGATGGGAAGCTCAGCCTAACTCCAAAGCCAGTCTGGGGACTTTCATGCTGCTGAGCCACGGGCATAGTCCCCACAACAACCTGGGAGCTCCCCTTACTAGTCTCCCTGTGACTGTTGGGGGACCTGGGCTTAGAGAGAAGGCCTCATTCCAGGGCTGTAGATTGAGAACTCTTCTTATCTTGTTTACAGAATACCCACCCAAGACAGCAAGCACTGGAGCAGCTGCTGAAAGACAAGGTTGAAGATGATGCGATAAAGGCAAGAATGGGGCTTTGAGGCCTGGTGAACAAAGGGGCAGGGGTTGGCGGACTCCCCAAACCCTTGCCCATTCCCTGCCCTTTTTCCTCAGATGCTCCAGCTCTCAGAGTTTGCCCCCGTACTGAAAGAGATTGCTCCTGGCCCCCTCATGACACCCTCTGCCCCAGGTATTATTGGTCCTGTGTTGGAGGAGGGGGTGTTAGTAGACAATATTGATGGAAATTTGGGGCCCTCATCTGTCTATCTTCCTGGTTATCTTTCTTTGTTTAAAAAAGAGATTAAATGGCTTCTTTGAGTCCAGATATTTTGAAAAGTAGTCTGTGATTTGTCCCCCTCAACAGCACATTCAGCTGTAACCTGGTCTTTTTCAGATAGATGTTCTATTCTTTCTCTCCTGTTCTCCAGGGTCCACTCCTGGTCCCTGCTTCTTCTGTGGTTCTGCCCCAGGCACACTGCACTGCTCAGCCTGTAAACAGGCCTTGTGTCCAGCTTGTGACCGCCTGTTCCATGGGCACCCATCCCGTGCCCATCACCTCCGCCAGACCTTGCCCTGGGCCCCCCAGGCCACCCATTTGACCCCCAGGTGAGAGTCCTTCCCTTCTGGGAGGGAGTGAAATTGAGAGAACTTAGTTACTTGAGTGTCTACCATGTGCCACATTCTGTGCTTCAAGACTGTTTCATAGAGAGGACAAGCAGCCAGTTACTGCCCTCCAGGAGATCACAGACATATATATCAAGCAAGTAGCAGTCACAACAAGATAGATTATTATGGTGTGCAAATAGGTAGTAGAATAGGTAGTAGAAGGATGCTACCTAGTCTGAAGGGTCAGCTCAATCAGTTGGCAATATTTTAAACACCTAGTATGGGTCAGTCCCTATGTTAGGAATATCTACCAGCAAGATGTAAACTTTAAGCTGTCATTTACATGTTGAACAGGCTGTGGGTATGGGAATGTTCCAGACAGAACAAAACAGGCAAAGGCTAGAGTCACATGTCATCATGCAGGAATGAGAGATGCCCGGGGTGAGGGACCCAGGCACCAGGACCCCCCTCAGTAGTTCATGTCTGCTTTCCCATTACAGCTTACCTGTTTCAGCTCCACCACGGCCCCAGTCAACCTCCCTGCTGGCCTTGGAAGACAGCTCTCTTTCTTCTCCTGATCCTGCAAGTGCCCGTCTGCCCTGGCACTGTACTGCCTGTGCCATGTTAAATGAATCTTGGGCAGTGCTCTGTGTGGCCTGTGATCGGCCCAGAGGCTGTAAGGGGTTGGGGCTGGGGATCGAGGGTCCCCAAGGAGCTGGGGGCCTAGAACCTGAGCTTGCACGGGGTCGCTGGGCCTGCCAGAGCTGTACCTTTGAGAATGAGGCAGCGGCTGTGCTGTGTGCCATGTGTGAACGACCTCGGCTGGCTCAGCCTCCTAGCCTGGGGGTGGACTCTCGGGATGCTGGCATTTGCCTTCAGCCCCTTCAGGTAACCTATTCCTGGACTTCCCATTTCTTTATTTGCACCTCTTACCATAAGCCATTCTCTACTTCCTCATCCCGTTTTCCTTCAGTTTCCCCATGTCTTCCTCTCAGGTCCTTATATTTCCATCTTGAGCCTCAGCCAGCTTTCAGTGGCATAATTCTTTCTGCCTTCTCAGCAGGGGGATACTTTGCTCTCTTCTGCCCAGACTCCAGTCTGGCACTGTATTCACTGTACCTTCTGCAACTCGGGCCCGGGCTGGGTATGTGCTATGTGCAACCGGACCAGCAGCCCCATCCCAGTAAAGCACGCCCCCCGGCCCCATGCCAGCTCTTCGGAAGAGCGACTCCCCGATCCAGGGCCCCCACGATGTCTCAGTGTCCCCCTGTCCAGTTCCTGTGGGGACCCTGAGAAGCAGCGCCAAGACAAGATGCGGGAAGAAGGTCTTCAGCTAGTGATCAAGATCCGGGTAAGGATTTGGGTCTGGGATGAGGTGGGGCTGAGCTGCTGGGAGAAAGGAGAGGCTGCAGTTGATTAATAAAACTGGTCATTGTTGTTCACAGCTGCCTTTTGTTGAACAATTCCCATATAACAGGTATCATGTGCTCTGCTCACAAGATCATAGCGTGAGCTCAACCACTGTCAGCATTTTGGTTCAGGCTGACAGTGGATGGAGGACACCCTTCCTGATAGGCCCTCTGGGTGGGACTGTGCTTTAGGAAGGGGAAGCCGCAGGCGCCTGTCCAGAGGAGGTCTTCTCAGCTCTGCAGTACTCAGGCACCGAGGTGCCCTTGCAGTGGTTGCGGTCAGAGCTGCCCTACGTGCTGGAAATGGTGGCTGAGCTAGCTGGACAGCAGGACCGGGGGCTGGGTGCCTTTTCCTGTCAAGAGGCCCGGAAAGCCTGGCTGGATCGTCATGGCAACCTTGATGAAGCTGTGGAAGAGTGTGTAAGGGCCCGGCGGAGGAAGGTACCAGCTGTGCTGGAGGTGGGACGGGGTTGAGGGTTGTGGGTCTCAAAGTCTCTCATTCTCTCCCCTTTGCCTGCTTTTTCCCTCTTCATTTATTTTTCCATTCCCAACTCATAGGTGCAGGAACTCCGGTCCCTGGGCTTTGGGCCTGAGGAGGGGTCTCTTCAAGCACTGTTCCAACATGGAGGTGATGTGGCACGGGCCCTGACTGAGCTACAGCGCCAGCGCCTGGAGCCCTTCCATCAGCGACTCTGGGACAGTGGCCCTGAGCCCACCCCTTCCTGGGATGGGCCAGATAAGCAGGTGCTGGGAGGAGGTGAAGAGCCATGTAGAGGGGCAGAGGGAAGGCTGAGGGGACCGAGCCCTGGGTCTGACAGCTACTTCTTCCCTCTCCGTCTAAATCACATCGCAGAGCCTGGTTAGACGGCTTTTGGCAGTCTATGCACTCCCCAGCTGGGGCCGGGCAGAGCTGGCACTGTCGCTGCTGCAGGAGACACCCAGGAACTATGAGTTGGGGGATGTGGTGGAAGCTGTGAGGCAGAGCCAAGACCGGGCCTTCCTGCGCCGCTTGCTTGCCCAGGAGTGTGCCGTGTGCAGCTGGGTGCTGCCCCGCAACCGAGTGAGCATGTCCCCACTAAACCTGGCCTTAGAATAACTCTCATGCCTTTGGAACCCTACTCCACCCCAACCCCTGTCTCTGGTCCTGTCTTTTGCTCTACAGTTGCCCATGTGCCCCTGAAGTCTCCTGGGAAGGGGAGGGCAGGAATAGGCCACCTTCCCTCACCCCCATTTTTTAATGTTCTCTTATGGAAAATTTCAAACATACAATGGTATAGAAAACTGTTTAACAGATTCCCCCCTCCACCCCCACCATGTATTCATCACCAAGCTTCAGCAATTATAAATGTATGGCCAATCTTTATTTCACCTCCACGCACACAGGATTATTTTGAAGCAAATCTCAGGCATCATATGGTTTATCTGCTGATATTTTAGTATGTATCTCTAAAAGGTAAAACTCTTTGAAAACATAGCCACAAGCATCATTGTCACAACCAAAAAATTAACGGTAATTCTTTAATGTCATCATCAAATCTCTAGTTGGTAGGAACAGGCCCCTCTTATCTCCTGAGCCCCCATTTACTCTTGGTCAGAAGTGGCAGTTCTTTGGCCAGATACAGTCCAACTGAGTTAGGTTGGCTCTGTATCTTTTTTGTTCTATTTTGTTGTTACTCTATTTTAAAATAATTATAGATTCACAGGAAGTTGCAAAACTAGTACAGACTCCTGTGTGCTCTTCACCCACCTTCTCCCCATGGTGACTTCTTATATAATTATAGTACAATATCGAGACCAAGAAATAGACATGGGTACAATCTCAGCTAGACTACAAACCTTGTTCATTTTTTGCATGGATGTGTGTGGTTGGGGGAGGGGGGCTCTACACAATTGTATCCCATGTAGAGATTCATGAAACCACTAACCACAATCAAGATATAGACACCCACAAAGACACCCTTGTGCTACCCCTTTATAATTGTATATATACAACTTCTTCCCTTCCTCCCATCACCTGGCAACCACTGGTCTGCTCTCCATCTCTATGTTTTGTCATTTCAAGGATGTTATATGTGCGTTTGCTTTTAATTGAATATGAATGCCTTTAGGGAGGATTCTTCCTTTTATTTTACTTCTCACCATTGTCTATTTTCCTCCACCTGACAGTATTCAGACATTTAGGCTGCCTGCCTGGCACTTGTTGGCACTGTTGCTACCCCTGCCCAGTTGTTAACTAGACCCTGGTTTCTCATGAATACCTGGCTACTGCCCCTTCCCCAGGCTGGCAGCTGTGGCTTCTGACCCCCTCCCCTCTGCCCTGCCCCCCCCCCAGATGCAGGCTCTGACTTCCTGTGAGTGTACCATCTGTCCTGACTGCTTCCGCCAGCACTTCACCATTGCCTTGAAGGAGAAGCATATCACAGACATGGTGTGCCCTGCCTGTGGTCGCCCTGACCTCACCGATGACACACAGTTGCTCAGCTACTTCTCCACTCTTGATATCCAGGTACTGCAGTGTCTGGGTCTCAGGGCACCCTGGGCTTTGAACAAGAACCCTGCCCACCCTCCACTTCTGCGTTCTGTCCCCAGCTTCGAGAGAGCCTAGAACCAGATGCCTATGCCCTGTTCCACAAGAAGCTAACTGAGGGTGTACTCATGCGGGACCCCAAGTTCTTGTGGTGTGCCCAGGTAAGTGACCTGCACGAAGGAGCTTACTGAAAGGGCTGGGGTGGCGGGGGAGGGGGCGCAGGCCTCAAATAGCTTTATGCCTTTATGCTCTTGCACCCATAGTGCTCCTTTGGCTTCATATATGAGCGTGAGCAGCTGGAAGCAACATGTCCCCAGTGTCACCAGACCTTCTGTGTACGTTGTAAGCGCCAGGTGAGGCACATCCATCCTTCCTGAAATACTTGCTGAGCTACTGGCAGGTACTGTGTTAGACTCGGGGTGTGCTGGAGAACAGAACAGACATGAGCTCTGGGCTCAAGTGCTTACAGACTAGTCAGGGAGGGAGGGAGAGAAGGAGGGAGGAAGGAAGGATGAGGGAAGGAGGAAGGGAGGGAGAGGTGGTGGGAGGGAGGATGAATGGGGAAGCAGGGGTGAAGGAGGAAGGCAGGGTGGGCGTAAGGGAAGGAGGGAAGAAAGGAAAGAAAGTGAGGGAGGGAGAGCGCATAATTATACATGGGCGTAAACTCTGTGAAAAAAAAATAGAAATTTGGGATTAGGAAGAATGGAATGGACCTACTTAGGACAGAAAGGTCAGACAAGTCTTCTCTAAAATGGTTTAATTTAAGCTCAGGCCTGAAAGTTCAGAAGAAGTCAACTATGCAGAGTATTTGGGACAGAAAGAACCACACATGAGTGACCAAAGTCAGAAAAAAGCGTTGTGTGGCTGGAGCCTCAAGCGCAAGGGTGGGAGGAGCAGAGGAGCTAGCTGCCAGGCCTTGAGACCAAATGAAGAAGATATTTGCCTTTCATTCTAAGACTAAGCAAGGGGTGATATGATCTCATTTACCTTTTTAAAAGTTTAATATTTTATATCAAAAAATCGCATCTGTATTATGAAACGTAATAGTAAAATAAACATCTCAAACCCAACTACCAAACCTCAAAACTAGAACACTCCCGATCCTGTTACAGCTGCCTGACTTACATTTTCAAAGGCATGTTGGCTGCAAGGTGGAGGGTGGACTGTAGGGGTGCCTGAGTGGAGGCTAGTAACTGAGGCAAGACCTGACCTGGCCCAGAGTAAGGTGGTCACAGTAGGGATGAAGAGAAAGGGGACAGGGTTGAGAAATAGACATTGGTACCATGTTAGCTAGACTTGCGCGTTGGAAACAAGGTCTGCTGGTGAGTATGTGGTAGTATGAAGAAATGAAAGAACCGAGGGTGGCCTCTCAGTTTGGGATTTGAGCAAATGGTGGATAGCAGTGCCATAAACTAAACCAGGGATCACTGGATAAGAATGGAGGGGCCAGCAAGAAGGGCCTGGGATGGGGCTTCCATGTGACGATTGCTTTCCTTTCGGCAGTGGGAGGAGCAGCACCGAGGCCGGAGCTGCGAGGATTTCCAAAACTGGAAACGTAACAACGACCCAGAATACCAGGCTCAGGGCCTTGCAATGTATCTTCAGGAAAATGGCATTGGTAAGGCTGCCCCACTCGGCCTGCTTGCCCAGTATTCTATCGTTGCCAGCAGCTCTCTTCCTGAGGGCCTTGAGGAGCAGTGGCAGCCCCAGCCCTGACCTGCTGTCCCTTGCAGACTGCCCCAAGTGCAAATTCTCGTACGCACTGGCCCGAGGAGGCTGCATGCACTTTCATTGCACCCAGTGCCGCCACCAGTTCTGCAGTGGATGCTATAATGCCTTTTACGCCAAGAATGTGAGCCCAGAGAATGGGGATGGAAGGGATAAAAGGATGGGGGGCTGCCCTTGGGTTTGAGGGGCAGAAGCCACTGAGGAGCGGCCCAGGGGAAGAGAAGGAGGTCGGTGGGGTGTAAATTACCTCTCTGTGTCCCCTCTCTCCCTCTGCTTGCTTCAGACCCTCCAGTGTCTCCATCTCCCCCCACCCTTATACCCCTCACACAGGGGTTCCTGAAAGGCCAGGACCCCAACAGTCTCCAACTTCCCTCTCCCATCTCGGTTTCCGCCAGAAATGTCCAGACCCGAACTGCAGAGTGAAAAAGTCGCTACATGGCCACCACCCCCGAGACTGCCTCTTCTACCTACGGGACTGGTCTGCCCTCCGGCTCCAGAAGCTGCTACAGGTCAGGCGTGGCCAGCCTGGCTGGGTTTGTAGGCTGCCCAGGAGAGGAGGCAGGGCCCAGGGTGGCAAGAAGGGAAAGGCTCTATGCTGGGAAATCTAGTGGGCTGGCATCAAGGAGAATCTAACGCCCATCCATCTGCCCCTCAGGACAATAACGTCATGTTCAACACAGAGCCCCCAGCAGGGGCCCGGGCAGTCCCTGGAGGTGAGTGTCAGGGCAAGCCTTGGAGAAGGGGAGAGGATGGCTGGGCGCCCACTGTGCAGTTGGTAAAGGAGAGGCTTGGGTCTGGGGTCAGACCTGAGCTCAAGGCCTGTTCTGTGCTGACGTGTTGCATGCCCATTGGCAAGTTAACCTCCCCGAGCCTTGTTACTCCCTCTGTAAAATGGGGGTAATGCCCACCTTGCAGCTAAGCTATTTTACATGAGGCCACATTAAAGCACCTGGTACTTGATACTAATTTTCTTCTTCTATTCCCAAAGGATAATGATTTCATTAGTTAACTCAGTGAGTATTTAATGAGACTTGCTAGTTGCAGTCTTAGGTTCCATGAGGGCAACTAGAAAGGTGCCACATATTATTCTAATATACTCCACTTACCATCTAGATAGAGTAAGACCTTCACAGAATAAGTGAACTTTGCACACACTAAATCACAAAAGAGCTGTTTCAAGACGTATGTGATTATGGGACAAAAGCCAGCTTGGATAAAAGGGACAGCAAGGTCCCTGCTGTATCAGAGCTGGTCTGCTACAGTGCCATCTCTAAGTTCCCCCCACCACTACCACCACTGTTGGAGCAGCGGCTTTTCTGTCCTTCAGCCCCTCCCTGGATGCTGCCTCCCGTGCCTCCATCCCAGCTCTCCTGGGGCTTAGTGGTCAGTGGCCTTCTCCCAACAAAGGGTCCCTTCCTGCCCTTACCCACAGGTGGCTGCCGAGTGATGGAGCAGAAGGAGGTTCCCAATGGGCTCCGGGATGAAGCTTGTGGCAAGGAGACTCCAGCTGGCTATGCGGGCCTCTGCCAGTGAGTGCCAGGCAGGAAGCATGGTGTTGGGGAGAGGGAGAGGAGTGCTGAAGGTGTGCCCAGGTGGAAAAGTGGGTCTCTGGGAGCAGTAGGTCCTGCAAGGAGTAGGAGGGAGGGGCTCTCTGGGCAAGGGTCTGGATAGGTAGTAGCAAGCAATGTGCATGAGTTGTCAGTGCCTACATGTGCAGCAGGCGAGGGTTGTCAATCTTATTCGTCCAAGAACGCCAGGGCCTAGCAAGGTGCTGGGCATAGTCAGTTAATATTAGCCGAACAGAAGAACAAATATCCCGCCCTCTCATCTCTCCAGGGCACACTACAAAGAGTATCTTGTAAGCCTCATCAATGCTCACTCACTGGACCCAGCCACCCTGTATGAGGTGGAGGAGCTGGAGACGGCTGCCGAGCGCTACCTGCATGTGCGCCCCCAGCCGCTGGCTGGGGAGGATGCCCCCGCCTACCACACCCGCTTGTTACAGGTGAAGCCTCCTGCCAGCCTCACCTCTGACCCTATGCTCTGAAAGTCCCCTATCCAGCCTGTGTCTGAGCTCCAGGCTTCCAGGATCATCATCTTCTCTCCTTCTGCAGAAGCTGATGGAAGAGGTGCCTTTGGGACAGAGTATCCCCCGCAGGAGGAAGTAGCTGAGGGCAAGGGTCCCAATGAGGGTCTCATGGCCTGACTCCTGCAAGAACAGCTCCAGCACCAATAAAGAAGCATCTCCTTGCGCAGGCCTCTTGGTTCTTCTTCCTGGCCCTACCATCTGGGGGCACCAGGGAAAGGGGGGTGAACAGAGCTTTGCTAAAAGGGACCCCTACAGCCCACCACCTGACCCTGGACTCAGGATGAGGAAAGAATTGACACCGTGGATGGCTAAGGGAAGCCCTCCTTGCCCACTTGGCCTGGGCTGACTTCCTCCTTTTCTGCCTCCCTTCTTCCCTTCATTGAATTGAGCTGATACTTGAGGTCATCAAATTGGTACCAAGCAGGCAACGAGGGGGAACATAGATGCACAGGTGTACAGAGCTATCCAGAGTCCCTGGGGCCAGACTGCAACAGTCTGCGGCCTCCCGGGAGAAGCAGCAGTGTCACAGAGATTGTCAAATACAAGCAATGAGTATCTGAGGGAGGATGAGGAATGAACCTGAGCTGGGAGGGTTCCTCCTGTGACTGATTCCAACAGTGAGATTCTCAGATGCTGCTTCCCCCTAGTGGCCACCCGTTGCCCTGCAGCTCAGACCACGTGATTTCAGGGAAAAGGACCTCCCCAGGAGGAGAACTGAAACTTAGGGTGGGGACTGTAGAAACAGGGTGGAGTTATCAGGAAGCTGCCTAGCCAGGAGCTGAGCTGAGGTCAGCTGAGCCCTGGGACAGCCTGCACAGCAGCTCAGGTAAGATCAGCCAAGAATTGGTGGCAACCTGGGTCTAGGGCTAGAAAGCCCAGCTGGATTGGAGGTGCGGGATGGAGGGGCTGCTCCTGGGGGCCCCCTCTGCTAGACTGAGGAAGAAAGAGGACCTGAGAGCCAGAAAGCAGGAGGTTTGGCCTCAGTGAGAGACTGACCAGTTGCTGTGTCCCAAGCTCTACAGGCAAAGACCAGGAGGACCTGCTACCTGGTTGTTCAGGGAAGAAGGCTGTTGATCCCAGTCTACTTGACCACTTGTTTGCTGCCTTCTGGCCCTGCCCACTTACGCTGCAGCTCCGCCCCTGCTCCCCCCCAACCACTAGGGCAAGCAGAGGGGAGGGATGGTGGAAGGAAAGGTTGTAGGGTGGTAGGTGAAGAGTGTTGGTAATGCATCCTCTAAGCAGATACCGCCTCTGCCAATGCTTGGGGATCTAGACAGCGCCTCTCACCAGGAACAGAGCACCAAGGAAATTCTTCCAAACAATAGATGCCTGAAAAGTCTTAAAAGTTCAGACCAATGCCTAAGGTTTCCTTCCAGATGTCACAGCTTGGAGTGTTAAAGACAACGTATATATTTTTTTCATTGCCAGTGATGGCAGAAACAAAACTATTTGGCTTCAGAGAATTTTGAGATAAGTCTAGAGAAAAAGATGGATGGGTTCTCTGGGGACCCTTGCCAGAATACAAACCAAATAGCCAGGGCCTCAGCAGATATTCTCTCCCAAAGGGTTGGTTCTACTGATGCTGCCTGCTGTTCTTATCCCCAGGATGGCATCAAGCAAGGTGCGCTGCACCCGAAAGCTCCGAAGCTGGGTGGTGGAGCAATTGGAGAGCGGAAAGTTCCCAGGGGTGTGCTGGGAAGATGAAGCTAAGACCATGTTCCGGATTCCCTGGAAGCATGCCGGCAAGCAGGACTTCCGAGAGGACCAGGATGCTGCCTTCTTCAAGGTGAAAGGGCCTGGGAACTGGTCCCTCCCTCCAAGTGAGGGATGGAGTCAACACTGGTGTTCAAGGGGTTGCATATGCCTGGATTTTAGGTAAAAGGGAGATTAGAGGGTAGAACCAACGACGTAATTATCAGAGCCAAGTGCAAAATGGAGAATGCAAAAATTATTAAGGATTTCAAGATGGCAACGGCTGAGCATAAACCCAGCACAGGCCTTTCTGTGCAAGTGCTCACGCTGCATCTCCATGAAGCTGACCCTGGTGGAGAGTCAGCTGGGGTCTATAACATGCTGCCTCTCTTCATTTCCTCTGTTTCCAAGGCCTGGGCGATATTTAAGGGAAAGTACAAGGAGGGGGACATGGAAGGCCCCGCTATCTGGAAGACTCGTCTGCGCTGTGCTCTCAACAAGAGTACTGAGTTTGAGGAGGTTCCTGAGAATGGCCATAGGGATGGGGCTGAGCCCTATAAGGTGTATCGGCTACTGCCACCAGGAACCCTCCCTGGTGAGTGTCCCCTTGCCCACCACTCTAGAATCAGCAGACTGGGGAGGAAGGATGGAGATGAGCATCCAAGGAGGGTGGGGGAACTCCTTCCAGGTTCCTTGGTCAGAGTTCTACCCTGTCCCTGTCCTTGGGACCTCCTACCCAGGTTCTCCTCAATCCTGCCCACCTTTTCACTGTCTCTTATCTCTCCTTTATCCGTTGTCCTCACTTAAGGCTCTGACCATTCTCTTTCCCCTCAACAATATTCCACAGCCCCAGCAGGGACACAGAAATCACCATCAAAGAGACATCACAGCTCTGTGTCCCCTGAGAAGGAGCCGGATGAGGGTACCACTAAGAACTGTATACTTAGCCCCTCCTTGCTCCAGGACCCCCTCAAAAACGTAAGAGCTGGGGAAGGAACTGGGTGGGCCTGAGGGCAGGACAGTAACTAGGGGGAGAGGGGGCCAACGATAGACACTATGTCTGCAGGAAGAGGTGGGGGCCAATGGGGGAGCAGGCCATTCAGACTTTGGGAGCAGCAGCAGCAGCAGCAGCAGCAGCAGCAGCAGCAGCAGCAGCAGCAACAGCCCTGAGCCTCAGGAAGGTACCACCTCCCCTGCCTCTTGTCATCCCCTATGTCACACCCTCTGGCCCTTGGACTCCCCCGTCCCACTCTGAATGACGTGCCTCTCCTCCCTTCCAGGTGCAGACACAACTGAGGCCTCTTTCCAAGGAAATCAGGCACCCCTGGAGCTTCTGCCCCCTCCAGACTCAGGTACTGGGCATGTCTGACCTCTCCCTGCTCCCTGTCCCTACAGGTCATCTTCCTGTGGCCATGCACACATGATCTAATCTGTCAGGGCTTGCAGCAACCTGTGCTTACCTTACTCAAACAGAGGCATTGGTTTCCATGCAGTGCACCTGGCCAGGCTCCAAACAGCTTGCTTCTCAGAAATACCCCCCTTTGCACTCTGTTCCCTGGAAATCTGCTTTGGGACATTGATTTCTGTGGGTTAGTAAAAGGCCCAATCTCTTGGACCTTCTTGTAAACTGTAAGACCTTGGGAATTAAGCCTTGAGACCTCAGTGTGAACCTGTGTATTAGCTACTTTCCTGAGTAATAGGAAAGTCTGACAGGAGGCCCCTTAGCTGGTGAGGGTGGGGAAGTGAGGATAAGGGGGGAGGCCCCTGCCCCACAGCCTGCCTTGTCCTCCGCAGTCCTCGCTTGGTTTCCCTCTTGGGCCTCACATCCCTCAGCAACAAAATGAGGACGTTGGATTTGCAAGGAGCCCCTCTTTGTTTCCTCAGAGCCCCGTGCTGACCAGGTGGACCCCTGGGAGAGGCACTGGTACATTTGGTCATTCTCTGTCTGCAGACTACTCGCTGCTGCTCACTTTCATCTACAGTGGACAGGTGGTGGGTGAGGCCCAGGTGAAGAGCCTGGACTTCCGCCTTGTGGCTGAGCCCTCAGGCTTCCAGTGTGGCATGGAGCAAGTGGTATTTCCCAAACCTGGCCCAAAAGAGCCCACCCAGCGCCTGCTGAGCCAGCTTGAGAGAGGTGTCCTGGTGGCCAGCAACTCCCAAGGCCTCTTTGTGGAGCGCCTTTGCCCCATCCCTGTGTCCTGGAGCACGCCCCAGACCCCACCTGGTCCAGGCCTGCATCTGCTGCCCAGCAACGAGTGTGTGGCACTCTTCAGAACCAGCTACTTCTGCAGAGGTGAGGCTGCTGCAGCCCAGCACCCGAGCCCTTACCCCCACCTCTTAGTCACCCCAGGCCCTGCCCTCACCCTGTGCTCCCTCCAGCAGATCCGTCATCACAGCCCATGCATGGCACCCCTACGCCTGCTGGGTGCACATCCTGTAGGGTCCTATGCTGAGCCCTGGCAGCCCTCTTTCCGTAGTCCAGGCTGTGGAAGATGAGGCTCAGGTAGAGCCCAGCACAAGAGTGTCACAGCTGAGAGCACCGTCACACTGACACATACGTAGTCATGGGAAGGTGCGCCTTGCGGCCCTCTCCTACACACACACTGGCTCACACATCCATCCACACATTCGGGAGAGCTGGGGTACGTTACACACCCTGGCACTACCACACTCCAGACGTCCCCTCAGATTGCCCCTCTCCAATCCAAGCTTTGAAGTCTACTTCCTGCCTCCATTCAACTCTAAGTCTAACCTTGGGAGTGGGGGCCAGGAGTACAGGAAACTCAGAGCATGTGTGTTCCCAGGGCCATGGGTGCTCTAGCATAGGGAGGTGCAAGCAGGCAACCAAAGTGTGGGCACATCTATGTTAGCAGCCAGGGCTGCTGCCGTGAGGACTCTAAACTCTCCCAGCAGAGAGCATGTCAGGTTGTGTAATACCTCTAAGTATTTCTTAAGAAAGGAGTGCCTTTTCCAACTGCACATAGGAGATTAGCCTCTAGTTCCTAGCATTTCTGGCATAAGACAGCAGCCTCGTGACCCTGCAGCTCCTGCTCTGGCCTTGGTCTCCCCGTGGCCTCAGTGCCACTTCTCTTTCTCCATTATGTGTTCCTACCTATTCCCTCCCTGCCTGTGGCCCTCTCCCTTCTCTTTCCTTTTTTGTAACCCTCGACCCTTTCTCTTTCAGACCTGGCCAAGTACTTCCAGGGCCTGGGCCCCCCACCCAACTTTCAGGTGACACTGAATTTCTGGGAGGAGAACCCTGACCCCAGCCACACCCTACAGAGTCTTGTCACAGTGCAGGTGAGCTCGGGGCAGGGGAAGAACAGCTACCTATGCAGGCAGGGTGGAGGGTGGGGGTGGGGGATTCCAGGAGGAAAGGGGCCTTCTCAGGGCAGGGATAGGGGCTGTCCCTGCGGTGTTCATGATACCTCTCCCCACCTCTTTTTGGCACAGATGGAGCAGGCCTTTGCCCGACATTTACTGGCGGAGACTCAAGAGGACCAGGCAGCCATTCTGTCCCTGGTGCAAAGCTTAGGGGACCCACCTTCCTCCTCTCCACTCTGTTCCCCTCTATTTTCTTTGAAAGAGACTTGTTCTCCACACTATTGACCTGCCTCCCTCGGTGACAATTCTTCACGGTTGCCTGTGATGGTTATGTCCTTGAATTTCTCACGATGTCTGACGGGTAAAGAGCTCAAGCATGACTTTTATTTTTTTTATTTTTATTTTTATTTTTTTTGAGATACACCCTCTTTTATTTCTGAGGAGCTGAGCTGGGAAAGTCCAAATGATATGAACTTAGGGGGACCTTTCCTTCATCCCCCAACCCTATAGCCAAGCACTTTATATTTTCTTCTTGATCTTCACTGAGGTTTTAAAATAAAATTTTACTGAAAAATGAATCAATATCTGATTTGTTGGGCAAGAAGGTAGCGGGGGTCACAAGGAGATGACAGAGATGTAACTTGAGAGCAGGGCACTTGGGTTCTCTCCTGCTGACATCCCCGGGCCCCTATCCTCCCCTCCACCCACAGGTTCTGGCTAGGAAGCAGTCTGGGCTCTGTGGGTTCTGGGCATGGCTCTCTGTACCCTCTAGGCAACCAGGATTAGGGCCAGGGTCAGCCCCAAGAGGGTCACTGAGCCTACAACCACCAGCTTCACATGGGAAGGTCCGGGCTCCACAGCTCTTGGCTAGAGGCCTGATTTGGGCCTTCACAACAGACAACCTAGGGTTAGACTCTGGACTGGGCTGCTTGTCATTCTTGCTCCCTGTACACTCACTTCCACCACATCAGTCCATCAGCAAATCCTGTCATTCCTCCAAAAGCTATCCAGAATCTTGACTTCCACTACCAATACTGTGGTACAAGTCACCATCACCTCTTACACTTCTTCTTCCTGCTTCCTTCCACATCTTTTCTGCTTCCACTCATCTTCAGCCTATTCTCAGCACAGTGGAGTTCCTCTTAACACATAAATCTCACCATGTCACTCTGCTCAAAACCCTCTATTGGCTCTCAACTCACTCAAGGTAAAACCTCAAATCCTTACAATGGCTTCCAAGGTCCTTGTGATGTGGCTCCTATCTTCTCTAATCCCACCCCTTGCCATTCTTCTCAGTCACTTTGTTCCAGGCTCCTTGAACCCACCACATTTCTGCCTCAGGACCTTTGCACTTGCTGTGTTTTTCTGTTTGTTTTTGCTGGTTCTTTTATCTAAAATATTCTTCCTTCAGGTAGGCACATGACTTGTCCCCTCTCTTCCCTGAGCATCCTATCTAAATAGTAGCCCTCATTACTCTCTATTCTATACTGCCTCATTTTTTTCTTCATAGCATTGACCACTTTACATATTTCTGTCTACTTGTTCATCCTCTCTCCTTTCTTACTCCATGAGAACAGGGACTTGTTCTGTTCATTGCTATATCCCTAGTGCCTAAAGGAGTGCCTGGCACATAATAGGCATGTAATAAATACTTGTTAGATGGATGGATGGATGTACAAATTCTGTATCCCTTGCTCATCTCCTAAACTAGGTTCTAAGCACCTTAAGGGCAGGTCCCCCCACTTTATCATCGTTTGTGCCCCAATGTAAACACTTATGAACATTGGCAACATATGTACAATGATTGAAACAATTTTAAGTATAATGTAGAAGCCAATTTAGCCAGGCATGGTGGAATAGGGATTGGAAACCCTGGAAATCAAGAAAGCAGAGTTCCCAACCAGGCTGTCCCTAAGGAGCTATGTAGTCTGGGAGAAACCGTCTGTATGGGCCTCTGTTCTCTCATCTGTAAAGGCAAGATTTGGACTAGATTTTGAAATCCCTTTCAGCCTTGACATTCTGTGGTTGTAAGTTTAGGGTAATTGCACATTCATTTGACAAATATTTACTGAACTAGTTTCCAGGCACTAATTAAAAACACAAGTCCCCAATCTCAAGAGCTCCCAGATCTAAGGAGCAAAATAAAATCGGGTCAGCTTGGCTGCAATAAGTGTTGAGTCTTAAGAAGGCAGAAGCATGCCCTAGAGTCAAGGCTGGCAAAGGCATCTAGACCAAAGAAATGGCTGTGCAAAGGCAGAAGGCATGGAAACAAGGGACATTTGTAACTAGAATATGGCTTAATTTTACACAAAGAATTGTTTGAGACGAACGGCGTTTGTCTGGGAGTGGCGTTGTACCTTGGCTCTTTGTCTTCTTGAAGGAAAGAATTGTCAAGAGACAGAGTTTATGCAGCATAGGACAGCAAGAAGTTTATTAATAAAATCAAGTACACTCCAAGACATGGAGCGCGCTGACCCAAGAGAGGGAAGCAGCCTCTCCTTACATTGTGTGAGAATTTTTATTTCTCTGGGTGGAATTGTGTTCCCCTCTCCCTCTCCAGTATCTCTCATTCTCTTAGCTGGTGTGCCTCGTACTCCCTTCTTGCTCCCAAGGTTGTATGAGCTCATTACCATGGCCCTGAGAAGCGGGGTGTACGTTCTGATAAGAGGGATGGTTTCTCTCTATAGCATGTTTCCCTTTTTTCTAACGATATATCTTGTTCTTAACATCTTGTTGAGTAAGCAAGATATTTGTGTTCCAAGTGAGAGCAGCTTGTAAGGGGCCTCCTAACCAGGGCTAGTTCCCTCCTTCTGCTGAGTTCTACATTTCTACCTACCCTATCAAAAATATGTCCTGTATCCAACAAAGCTGAAGTCTATTTCAGCCAGGAGAACACTCACAAATGAAAAACAGCCAGATCAGGTATGCCCACAGCCTACTGTTCAAGTTTAGGACGTGACCTGGCAAGTCCTTCCGCGGTTTCCTGTGAGATCTGACTTCTTCCCCATTGACCCATGGTGGCTCCTTGGCCACCCTCACACCATTTCTACCTACTCAACTCAGGATAGTCCCAAGGTTGGCACAAAGACGGACCAATCAATTGCTACCTGGTGGGATTTGGGGAGAGAAGCAAGGCCTAACCACACGTCAGGCATCGAACAGGGCCACCCAAGGCCGTTGCCCCGGGCATGACCCTGACCTCCCCTAGTGGTTGAAGTGTCCTTGTTACCAGGCTGGATGCAAGAGAGGCTGAGATTTTCTCCCTGCTCATTGGTCGGCTGAGAAGCGCCTCCGAGAATACCTTGTTACTAGAGGAGAGAACAAGAGCCTATTGGTCAGGACACTTCACAAAAGCCTGTCAGCGCGCAGGGTTCTGCCAATTGGTTCCATCCTGCCTCGAGAGCCCCCTGTCGGCTCAACCCGCAGCCGGTTGCTTGGCGCCTTGGAATGAGCACTGCCTCGCCTACCCCTATTCGCATTGGCTGTTCCATCATCTAATGAGGAGCTGAACGCAGAGCACTGGAGTGAGCGCTCACTGCGGTGGGATCTCAATGCGGGAGGGCCTGGGGAGGCTGCCCCTGCCCAAGCTGAGTGTAGAGGCCCCAGAGCCAGGCATCTCTGCGGAGGACAGGCGTTACCCCTCAGGACTTGGCCTAGGCCACTTCCCTGGCCTCTCCTCAGGCGCTCTGCATCTCCAACCTGCAACCTGACCTGAATCCAGTAAGTTCCAAGCACGCACATGGCGTGCAAACATTCAGGGCCGACGGAGAGGGGAGTCCCTGTATATCCAGTCTGCATCTCCTTGTACTTGTCCCATGAATCGTTTATCCACCATGTGTTCGACGGTTTATTTATATGGCATTCTGGGTCCATCTGCAGCGCCCCCTGCCCAAATCCTTACTTCTCTCCAACGTTGCCGGGAAATCCCTTGCTCTAAAGAATAAGGATTGAGAACTGAACCGAGGAGTGGTGGAGGCGAAAGGGTGAAACCCCAGAGGGACGATGTTCTACTATCCCAACGTGCTTCAGCGCCACACTGGCTGCTTCGCCACTATCTGGTAAGGGCGCGCGGACCATGGCGGGCGCGCCAGGAGGGGCGCCCCGGGATGCTCGCCTGACGGCTCCCCCTCCATCCCCACCCCCACCCCGTCCAGGCTGGCAGCGACACGCGGCAGTCGGCTGGTGAAGCGCGAATACCTGAAGGTGAACGTGGTGAAGACCTGGTAAGGCCCAGAAAAAAGAAGAGCGGCCTTGTGCTGGTGTGGGTTAGGGGTGAATTCGGGTGGGCAAGGCTGTAGGGCTGGTTCTAGGCGCAGGCGCAGTGGTCATCAGAGTGCGTTTTTTTTTTCCCCCAGCGAGGAAATCGTCAATTACTTGCTGGTACGAGTGCAACCCCCGCAGGCCGGCCTGCCACGGCCCCGCTTCTCCCTCTATCTCTCAGCCCAGCTCCAGATCGGCGTGATCCGGGTCTACTCACAACAATGCCAGTACCTCGTAGGTAAGGCTGGGAAGACTCTGAGGTGGGGCAGAGCTGAGTGGCCCTCAGCTAGGCTGGCTCTCTACCTTGCCCTCCCTGCCCACAGAGGACATTCAGCACATCCTGGAGCGTCTACACCGTGCCCAGCTGCAGATCCGCATAGATATGGTAGAGACTGACCTGTGAGTATCCCCCTGGGACTGGGACCACCCAGCCTTTGGTGGAGAAGCTCCCCGCTAGGCCTCAGCCCATCTCAGCCTCAGTCCTTGACAGCCACCTTCTCTCTCAGACCCAGCCTGCTGCTTCCTAACCGCCTGGCCAAGATGGAGACCCTGGAAGATGCTCCAGACCCCTTTTTTGGGATGATGTCTGTGGATCCCAGACTTCCCAGCCCCTTTGATATCCCTCAGGTAGGGCGCATTCCCCTGGAGCACCTCAGACTTCATGCGATGACAGTGCAGAAGGGGAGTGCATTGTCGGACACTGGGGTTAGGTGAAGGGAGCCTGCCACAGCTCTACCCCATCAGAGGTGGTGCCAGGGGACTGTCCTAATGGACCCATCCAGACAAGCCCACTCCACTTACCTACCTACTCAAGACCAACCTAGAGGCAGCTCTTGTCCCCACTCGTCTCCGTACTGTTTCCACTGCTGAGGCCCTAATTCAGGTCCTCATTCCTCAGCGCTGGGCTTCCCTACCCATGTCCTCCATCCATTCCTAACACCCTGCAGCTTAGACAATGCGACTCTCTTCCTTCAAAGACACTTCCAGTGATTTCCCACTGCAAACAGAATACTAGCATTTAGGGCTTTCTGTGCCCTGGTCCAGAGCCAGCTTTCCCCAGACATCTCAGCACATCCACTGGGCATCTTTGGCTCCCAAACACCAGTCTGGCCTGTGCCCCAAAGATACCACATTCACTTCTTTGCTTGTGCTGTTTTCCTAGCTCATAATGTTCACCCCTTGTTCTGTACTAGTCAAATCCTGCATATCCTTATAGGCCTTGCTAAACTACTACGCTTTCCCATGAAGCCTCTATCCCACTCCCAGCCAGAATCAAATTTTTTTTCTGGAACTCAGCACATTACTAGGGCCTTGTTTTTATCCTTTGTGTTGACCCTTGCTGGAGTCATATAGAAACTTGTCTCCCCACTAAACCATATGCTCCTTAATATCCTTATAATATCCTTGATATAAGGATACAGTGCTTTTTGCACAGACACACTGACAAAGGCCACATAACTGGTGGGAGGAGACAGGTGCTGTGAGGGCAGGAATGGGAGGAAAGGAGACCAGATGGCGAGTGGGTTCACTGCATGCTGATATCAGTACCATAAGAATTAGGCATAAAAGGTCATTAATGTCCATTGTCTGAATAAGGTTGTGAAAGTGGGAAAGCAGGGAGCTGAAGCTGAACCCTATCTTTTGTCCCCCACCCCTCCCCAAAGATTCGACACCTTTTGGAGGCTGTGACGCCAGAGAGAATTCTTGAGGAGACCCCTCCTGAAGTCCCTACAGAACCTAAGAAGCCAGGTGAGCAGAGAGGGCCTTTTTTCAGGCATAGGAATCTCCAAGAGCTGAAGAAATCAGCTTACGAGCTTACGAGCCAGGCCCTGCCTGTGAGGAGGCACTTGGTGCAACCTCATCACTGCCTCACAAGAGTCCTATGAGATCAGAATTCTTATCCGCATCTTACAGATGAGAAAAGTGAAGCCCATAGTGGTTAAGCAACATATCCAAGGTCAAATGGCCAGTGACTGGCCTGGGCCTGACAGGAACCCAGGTTGACTTGACTCCACCGAGTCCATGCTTTTGCCTTACCACATGGGTGTGAGAACTTGGGAAGCGGAGGGGCTGGTGTGACTTTCCTGCCCCTCCAGACAGGGCCCTGGTCACTGTGGTATCTCCTGAGGCCATCACTCTCCGGGAAGCAGAGCCCATACAAATACTGCAGATTGAGGTGAGTTGTCCCCTTGCACACACGAGCCTGATGCCCAAGTCCTGCTTCTGATGGCACAGACCCCCTTGCATCTACTTCTGCCCTGTCTCCATTTCCCCTCTCTCTGGCATTTGAGTACCCAGTGGGCTTCCTCAGCCCAGCCCTATTGCATGCCTCTCAGATTCAGTTCTCCTGGATCCACTTCCTTTTCTCAGAAATGGAATTGAGTCCTCTCTCCTTGTTCTTTCTCTCACGACAGGGTGAACGGGACCTCCCAGAGGTTAGCCGCCGAGACTTAGACCTGCTCATTGCTGAGGAAGATGCAGCTATCTTGTTGGAGGAACAAGGCAGGCCTATCCAGTAGTGTAGTCTGGCCGGTGCTGGACAGTCAGGCCCTGGACACAGGCAATCTGGACCTGGGCAGTGCTCCCATCTCTTCTCTTCTGCACTCTGAGTCCCTATCTTTTCTCTGCAGTGTCCAAGGAGGAGCCCCGGGCCCTGGAAGTGGAAACTACAGTACCCCCACTCTCACCTCTAGCTCTTGCACAGTAAGGGCAGGAACCCATGGGCCAGGTAGGGGGTCAGTTCTGGAAGGAGTGTCATCTCTCTTGTCCATTTTCCCTCAGGGTGGAAGGGGCAGCAGAGCCACTTCCAGGCCAGGTCTTGGCCCCAGAGGAGCTGAAGCCGGCAGTCTGGGAGCCCGAGGCCCTGCTTGCTGGTGAGTACCCGCCTTGCCTGGGTCCTTCCTGGGGCACCTGCACAACTGCTGCAGACAAGGGCCCTGTATTCCCACTTGCTAAAGGGAGGGCCCTCTAGCTTCTTGCCTGGGTTGCTGTGAGGGTGTAGAGCTGTAGGACCTGTTGTTGTTGCAGAGGTGACACCCCCGCAGGAGCTGCGTCTCCCAGCCCCAATCAGCCCAGAGGTGAGTAGTAGCTCTTCCAAGCCTCCTCCTCTTCACCCTTGTGTCCCAGCACTCTTCACCCAAATTCAGCTTCCCCAAGCCCCAGGCCACTACTAGCCTACACAGGCAGTTGTGCAATTTAGTAAAAGGTGGTCCTGCCCATACCAGTTTATCCAGCTGCACTTCCAGAGGGATATGCTCCTGCAGGGTAGGAGCTGCACATGCTCTTGGAGGCCCACCCCAGCCCTTTCCCAGGATGCCTCTGGGGTGGCAGTGTGGGGCCTGTTTGCAGTCCACCAGGATGTCAGGAAAAGGAGTAATGGGTAGGCTTACCCCTACTTCCTCTCTCCACTCAGCGGAGGAGGCCCCCCGTCTCCCCACCTGCTCGCCGCCTCCGTCGCCGCCGCCAGTTACTGTTTTGGGACACGGAAACTCAGATCTCCCGGGAGATGTTCCAGAAACAACTGCAACCCAAAGTTCACTGCTGGGAGTGTGTAAGTGCAGTCCAGGCTTTGCAGGGGATAGGAGGCAGGGAGGGCCTGGGGCAGGTGCACGCTGGGCCTTCAACTCCTGGGGAAGCATTGGTGACACTCACCAAGGTGCATGCATTGGGGGTCTGCACATACACAACTCGCCATCCTACTTTTAGTGACCATGCCCAGCACATCCATGGGCACCAGTTAGAAGTCCTTTTAGCAATGAGCACAGCAGGAAGGCATATAAACCTGTGAGTTGGAAGGCCAGAGGCCTTGAACAAGACATTGCAGAGGTGAAGGGGCAGTGAGGAGTGACTCCCTCCTAACTGGGCTCTGGTCTTCCCTCCTATGCAGCCAATGGTGCAGCCTCCTGAGAGGACCATCAGAAGCCCTGCAGAGCTGTTCCAAACCCCAACTTACCGTAAGAGGGGTGGGAGTTGGCATGTGGGTTCCTTTGACCCCATATTCCTTAGTGTTCCTCATGCCTCAAACCCTGTCCCTGCTTCCACTTTGTCCCCACCCAGCTGGCTGGCTACCCCCAGAACTGCTGACTTTCTGGACCCGCTGTGCTCAGCCACCCCCAAGAGCACTCAGGCGAAGGCCACCCCTGGAGCCTGAGGAGGAGGCTGCCGAGAGGGAGGCAGTGGCTGAGGAGGAAAGGAGAAAGGCTGAAATTCCAAGTGATATTGAGGTAACCACCTTCACTCCTTTCTGAGGGACTTGTCTGCTGTGCCTGAGCTCCAGCAGTCTGTCTTCTGCCCACGTAAGCCAATGGCACCAGATCCTGGGCACAGGTTGGGGTGTGTACTGCCCCAGAGCCAAAGCCAGTTCAGGGCTTCACTCCAAGTGACTCTGTGATGACTGCAGTCCTAGTTCTCTCTTTCATCCCCAGGTCCTGAGGGAGGCCCAGGAGCCCAGTGGGCCCCTCATGCTGTCTTCAGGTAAGCACCTGGACAAGGGCTGGTGCAGACCACCACCTTAACCACTGTGTGAAGAAACTAGTACCCCAACTGATGACAGTTTTTGTCAGAGGGAGCATTTAACATAGGAAGTAGAGTGGTTCTCTTCAGTTCTCCCTCCAGGGTACTGGTAATGTCACTGCACAGCTCTGACATCCAGTTTGACCAGGTGGGCCCAAGGCCATGACTGCTCAGATCCAAGCAGATACACTCAGGTCCTTCGCCTTCCCCAACAGAGCTCTCCCTAGAAGCAATTGAGGAGGAGAAGTCTCGCACCATTCTCGCACCCCCGGAAGAGCGGTGGTAAGCAGCCAGCCCGGGTGAGCTCAGGCCGCAGCCCTGGCCAGGTGGGGCAGAGGCTGGATGGTATGCCCCTTGTCACCATCACAGCTGCCACTTCCCTCCCATGTTCCCCCAGGGCTTGGGCTGAGGCGGAACAGCCAGAGCCCCCTGCATTGCCTGTGGTGCCTGAACTCCCTGAGGTGCCCATGGAGATACCTTTGGAGCTGCCCCCAGAGCCTGAGCTACTCTCACTCGAGGCCGTGCACAGGTACCAAGGAGGGAGGGCCTCAGTGTGGTGAGGCCAGGCTGGGGCCTCAGCTAACAGTAACCTCTACAGGGCAGTGGCACTGGAGCTGCAGGCCAACAGGGAGCCAGATTTCAATAGCCTGGTGTCACCTCATAACCCTCGCTGGATGGCCGCCCGGGTCTTCTACCTGCTCCTGGGTGAGTATGGGCATATGTGTGTGCACGTATGTGTGGGGGGGACAAACAGGCCAGAGGCTGCTGTAGGGACTCCCCCTGACTGGCTGCTCTTCCCCTCTTGACCAGTGCTCGCAATGCAGCAGATCCTTCGCATTGAACAAGAGAAGCCTTATGGGCACCTCCTGATCCGGCCGGGGCCCCGATTCCACTGCGGTTAGAGACAATGTAGAAAGCTGCCAAGAAACCAGCTACATCAAACCATGTCCTGCCTCACTAGGCCCTGCCTGCCTTCTTTCTGAACGTGCATCTCTATCCTCCCCTGCTCTCAGAGCTACTGTTCAAGTATAAAATGAACTGCCTTTATTACAGTATGTTGTCATGACTCCGTCTGTATTGTCCCACAGCATAGCAAATCCAGCCCCAGGGAGTAAGCAGGGCTGGGACTCCAAGTGGGTATGAGGCCCGGAAACTTTGGTAAGGCATGAGGTGGAAGGGGTGGGAGGTGGCCTTGGGGCCTAGGCAGGCTGTTCCCTCTGGCCCAGCTGCAGCCCGCAGTCTAGGTGAGGCCTAGGATGGCCTGGAGCTCCTGAGCCTTGTCGCCAGACAGTGAGCCCAGTGCTGAATGGAAGCTGTCGATGTGCTGTTTGGCCAAGAATGTCAGGAGCAGTAGCAGTGCAGCCTTGGTGTCTGGATGGAGAGTGGAGAGAGAGAGATCCAGGAGGGAGTGGCCCCCAACCCCTACCTGCCCCAGGCCCTCGAGCCCTGCTGCTTCTCGCCTCCCCTGACCCTGCCTAAGACTACCACCCTCACCTGGTGGGATCTTGCTGTCAGCCTGAATGAGACTGCAGATGCGCAGGAGCTCAGGAGCCACATCCACGGCCTGCGGGAGAAGAAGGGCTGCCTCAGGCAGCAGCACCCCTGGGCCCTGGGACTGGGCTGGGGGGTGAGGGGGGCCCGAGAAGAGGCAGTCTTCTCCCACCAGGGCTGTTGGAGCCTGATATTCACAGGCATCCCAGACAATTATAAAACATGAGAAGGACCCATGATTTTTTTTTTTTGAAGACGACGGGATTGTGACCAAAGATTAGACTAAAGTCATGGCTTCAAGATCAAAAACCAATACCCAGGAGCTCCACCGACACAAGTCTCTAAAGGTGCACGACAAAGGTGATTAGGCACAGGAACACTGAGACATCTGTCCAAACCCAGCCACTTGATGCAGATAAATCTCATTCACAAAGCAGAGCTGCTCTGATTGGAATAGATGGTAGGGTAGCCCAGACTGGTACCCTGATTCCATGGAGCACAGTCTGAAAGAGCCCGGGTCTAGAAAACCAGCCTAGGAAAGTTGTGACTTCTGGCTCAGGCCAGAGGGTGGAAACGGCCAGGCAGAATGGAGGCTCCTGAGGAAAAATGCTTCGTGGTGAGGAAGCCCTTCCTCTCATGTCATAGGCCTGGCTGCCGAGCCTTGCCGATCAATGAGAAAACAGGGTACAGAGTGTTAAGGGCAGCTTAAACCATCACTCTGAGTCAGCCACAACTGATGCCAACTCTGCCTATCAATGAGAAGGGAGTACTGGGGTTACCTGGTCAGGGCTGCTCTGGTATAGGAAGCTGAAAAGATGCCCTATGGTGACCCACTCCTCCAAGTCTTCCTTCAGTGGCAGGGCATGCAGCAGGGCAGCCAGCACCTGGACACAAAGATGGCTGTGGCCCCTTGTCCCACTCCCTCCTCGGCTTCCTGGCCCTGCCCAATGCCTCCATCAGTCACCTGGGGCTCTGGTTTCCTTGTGGGACTGGCCATCAGCAGGCGGGCGAGTGCCCCACAGATGTTGTCACGGACACGATCGTGGCGCTCCCGCGCCAGGAGGGGCAACAGGAGCCCCAGCAGCTTGGGGAAGTGTCTGGTCCATAGTCAAGGAACAGGCATACATGGCAGACCTCTCCTTTCTCCAAGGCCAGGGACACTCTCCCAACCCCTCAGCCCCTCTTGCAAGCCGAGGATACTCCTGGGCAGGGCGGCCCCCGTGCTCGGCCAGCACGCCCAGCCCAAAGATGGCATTGCTTCGCACCTCAGGGTCTGCGTCCCGGGCGGCGTTCAGCAGCACGGGGAGCAGGCGGGACACAAACTGCGCTGACGCGGCACCCAGGCCCTGTATGGATTCTGCCAGCGTTCCCACCGCAAAGGACTTCTCTGCCACCGTGCAGTTCTGTTTCTGGCAGGGGTAGGAGTGCAAGTCAGATTGGGACAGTGTGTGGGCCGGGCAGAATGGGGTTTGAAGCCGGAGGATGGAGCACTCACCGTCTTGCAGAGCAATAATGGCAAGAAGCCGGCAAAGAAGGGGGCAAAGGCGTCTCCCCCGGCCACAGCTGCCAGGGCAGGGATGGCCTCACCAGCGTGCTCTAGCAACATGGCATCGTATTCAGCCTGTGGGGCCAGGTGAGGGGATAGAGCACCAGGGCCAGCTGTGACTGTGGCGCCTCCCACCATGTTCCTCCGCTGCCACAGGTGGTCCCCGTGGGGGCTGCCCTGGGTAACAGGACTGGCCCCTCTCAGTTTGTAGCCCAGCTTTATCTCCTGGCCATCCTACTCTCACCTATCAATCCAAGCCCGCCCCAAATCTCCACCTCCAGGAAGCCTTCCCTGAACCCCCACTGCCTGAGTGGGAGCACAGCTGTGTCACTGGGAGCCATTACCAATCTTTAGCAGCCCTGGCTCCACCAGGCCAAGCCCAGGTGTACTGTCCACCCTGCCCTGTGGATACTATCAGACAGACTGCCTGGTCTCTGGTCCTTGGTCCCACAGCTCACCTGGTCCTCGTCCTCCTCCTCCTCCTCCTCGTCAGAGTCCTGGCAGGCTGTCTGCAGAAAAAGGTAGCTCAGCTCAGCCTAGGCTCTCCTGCCGCTTCTCCTTTCCATGGGGTGGGGGCAGGGGGAGCTAACCTTGCAGCCTCTGACCATCCCTACCTGGGGGCCCAGCCACCTCTTCATCCCGAAGCCCACCTGGCCTGCTCACCTTCCTTTGCATCACCGCCTTTAGCATGTTACAGAGGTCAGTGAGGCACCCAGGGGGCTGCAGCGTGAAGGTTCCACAGCTGCGCAGCACCCCCGTCAGGGCCTCCAGCACGGCCATCACCACCTGGCGCTCCCGTTCCTTATACACTGCCCGCATGTAGGATGGCACCACCCGGGCCAGGGCAGCCTGCAGAGCTGGGGACATGGTTGGCTGAAGCCCCAGTCAGGCCTTGCAGCCCTCCCTCCCCCCTGCTTCCAGAGGCCCCAACCTATCTCCGGTGCCCTTCTCACCAGCAGTGTTGGGTTTTGAGGGGCAGCTTTGACAGGCCTTATGCAGCGCACAGCAGAACTGACCCAGAGCCTCATGGGCTGCCTTGCGCACATTCAGGTGAGGGCACTGTGGGATAAGGTGGGGAGGGGGGGGGAGGCATGGGATGTGCCTGCTGTGTGCAGGGTGAACACAGGGTCTCTAGCCCTCAGACCCCCCCCACCTCCGCCCCACTCGACCCACTGCCACTCACCTCCAGAAGTTTGAACACTTCTTCAAAGACACTCTCCATGTAGGGAAGGAAGGCCACACTGTGGACAGACACACGGTCATGGGGAAGGGGCTCCCAGGCGGGGTTCCCAGTGCCAGGGAAGGGCTGATGCTTACCTGGTGTTAACAGCGATCTCCCCCAGGGCAGTGCAGGTGTCTTCCTTCTCATCAAAGAAGGCATTCTCCACGCTGTACCTAGAGTAAGGTGGGGAGGCAGCAGTGATCAGACACCAGCAGGAACAGATCTGACACTGGGCCCTTGTCCAAAGCCAGGAGTCCTCTGACCATTCCTAGACCACTACTGTCCGCACCCTGAGATCTCTGAGTCATCTTCCTCTTCCTCGTCCTCATCCATGAGTTCCTCCTCTTCCTCGCCATCGCTCTCATCATCAAACAGAAGGAAGGAGCTGCTGACGTCGTACTGAGGCTGGACAGGAGGTACAGCAGGGACTCTTGCTCAGCTGGGCCCAGGAGATAAATCTCACCCCAGGGCTGGCCTTCCCCAGCCGGCCCAGCCCAGCCATTCTCTGCTTACCACAATGCCCTCGGTTGAACGCAGTGACAACAGCATGAGTGTGGTGATTTGTGGCAGGTAGGGTGCCAGGTCCTCACCCATCAGCCCCGATAAGGCTGCAAAGAGGCTGTACCTGGTGGAGGCAGGTGGAAGCTGTACAATTCTGCCTGCTATAGCCAGATATGATGGGGGAGAAAGACAGGGAAAATCTATGGGCCAGAACCAGAGGTCTGGGGTATAAGCTAGGGACAAGTGAAGGCTCACTCACATGCAGCGCCGCAAGTCAGGGTCGTCTACCTGGTCGCATAGGCCCAGCCCCAGCTGGCAGCATTCCTCAGCCAGTGGCCTCATGGGCTCCCCCAATGCTCGTGCCAGCACCCCTAGCATCTCTATGGGGGCAAGAACTTGGTTAGCACTGGGATGCGGAGCTGTGCCAGAGGAATGCAGGGCCAAGGCCCAGGGAACCAAGGTGGCAGCTGGGGGGAATTCAGAAATACTCCTAGGGAATGCCTACTCAGTGGGACTGCCTTCTTCAATGAGAAGGAGGGCACCTGCACTGTCCTGGGGGAGATCTCTTTGAACACCATGTGACCCCTGGCCTTTCCGTGGCACTGGGAACCCAGCCTGGGAGCCCCTTTCTCACCCAGGCTCTGGATGCGCACAGGCTGCAGGTCCTCATGGCCTGTCACCAGGAATTCCTGCAGGTGCTCCATGATGGTGGGGAAGTAGGGCAGCAGGGAGGCCTGGGCGGCCGTAGCTGCAGGAGAGGACAGAATCAGTAGGAGTGGGGCCAAGGCCCAACTGCCTGCCACAGGCTCTCTGCGTGAACCCCATGCCCGGTCTCCAGTCTCCTTCTCCTCACCAATGGCCCCCAGGGCGCTCACAGCCAGTTCCTTGGCCCGGGGGGTGCTGGGGTTCCTCAGAGGCTGCAGCATACACTCCATAAGCTCCGCAAGGTAGGGCTGCACTTTAGGTCCTGTGGGGAAGGGTGCCTCTCTAACAACCAGTCTAGGTTTTCTACCTTGTGGGGGTCCACCTGCCTCCAGGCTGAACCTCCTTGTGGCCTCAGCACACCCCTCTCGCCACCTCAGGCAGTGGTTCCGAGAGGTGTAAATCCCTCCCCTTTCAACCAAACTATAGGATCATCCCCTCCTTCGCACCCCCAACCGCCATCACTACCTAGGTTTTCCACGAAATTCTCCAGGGCATAGCAGGCCTTGGCTAGGTGGTGTGTGTGCCTGGGAGGCACTGACTTCAGGTAGGCGAGGAGCAGTGGCATCACCTCCCCTGAATAGCTGCTG